CTTTTCCCAGCAATGAAATCGAGAGAATATTGAAGAGGAGGAGAAATATTTTTTCTCCTTTTTTATTTTTTGTAAAAAAAATCATTTTTTAAATTTTTCTCTCGACTTGTATTAATTAATAGAATTAAAAATTCAGTTTAAATGATTTTCTCCTTAAGGAAAGCATACGATTAATTAAAAATTTCTCTTGATTTTTTCTTGTTTACTAAAGAAAACTAAAGAAATGTTTATTTTGAAAAAATGGGGGAGAGAGAGAAAGGAGATAATTAACATTATGCGGAAAAATCCGATAAATTGTTGTCAGAACGAGAAATCTTCTTTCTTGTGATTGTACTTATTATATTTTTGGGGAAAAAAAATAATATTTGTTGCTTTTCATTAAATTTGACCTCGTTTCGACGTGTAGACAGTGAGGGATGAAGGACGGAAATCTTTTTTTTTTTTTTTAGTAAACTTCCCTAGGGTGTGATTTGAATTCTTTTTTTCTATCGCAGCTGTATTGAGACATTTTTAGTTACCTCGAGGCTTTCAAACTTCCAATCATTTCGTATTTGTTATTTTCTTCTTTTAATACTTCAACACCTTGATAGTGCAAAAAAAGAAAATTTTTTCTATTAGATCAGTTTTCGAAGCGACTGGATAGAATAATAATTTTTCTTCATTATTTTTAGAAATTTTTGCAAGGATAAGAAATCGAAAGAAAAATAATTTTTTCCAATTGGAGAAAATGGAATTCAATCTCAATTTTCAAAAATAGGAAATTTATTTTCTTCTTTTAATACTTCACACCTGATAATTTGTACAAAATAAATTGTTTCTGTTAAAATAGTTTTCGAATTAATTTTAATAATCGATTATTAATTTTCGTTCATTATTTTTAGGCAAGATGAATTTTTTCGAGGACAGGAAATATTTCGAGAGAAGAACAATTTTTCCCAAGTGACGAAAATGGATTTCGATCTCAATCTCCGAAAATAGGAAATTTTCCTGAAATTCGAAGGAAGAAAAAGGAGAGAAGACAAAATAGGAGTGGAAAAAAGAAAAAATGACAGATTTCGAAAGGATGAGAAGAAGATTTATCAATTTACCGACAATTTTCAAAATTTTCCATAAAAATAATTTGAAAATTCGAACACAATTATTTATACTATCTTCTTTTATTTGAATTCTTCACGAAGAACTGTATCGAGGCATTGACAATTGAAACAAGATTGAAATATTGATATCATTTGAATCGTTTGCACTTGAAGATATCATGAATACGAATATATACACACAAATGGTGAGAAATGCTTTGAAGTGAAAACTGAGACGTATGTAGGACAAGAGAGGAAAAATGTCGAAGTCGACAAAGTCGTATATCGCCCTCAGGAAAAATGCAAGGGGAAAAAAAGAAAAGAGAACTCTTTTTCCCCTCTTTTTTTTGAACATAAATCTCGACTATAGTGTAAAATCGACAATGTTTTATTCCTTTAAAACATTGAATTTAACCAACTGACAAAGGTGCGAAGCAAAAGGAGAGAAAGTGTTGAATTGTTCTTATATATCCATTCTTGACGAAACACACGTGGGTACACCCTCTTTTCATATCTCACAAGACACTCTAATGGAAAGTGTTGTAATCGTTTCTTCTCAACCTTGACAATGAAAAGCCATTCTCTCTCCACTATATACTTGAAAACTATGCCGAGAATTTCAAGCCCTCGCGCACAAAAAAGAAAAACAGAATATGGCGAAGAAGCGAAATTTTTCTAATTTTGATACATTCATTCAAACAAATTGATTCATTTAATTCAATTGTTTCCATTTATTCAATTGATTCAATTATTATATTCTAATAGTAAAGAAAAATTATTGACGAATTTCGAATTATGAAATTCGAATATTTGAATTAAATTTCTTCCCACAATGATCAATTAAATTCACTCAGAGAGAAAACAAGGAAATATATAATTATTGAAAAATGTCAAGTGTACGATTCTTAATTTTTTTGAAAAAGAAGAGGACGAGGATAAAAAATAGGGGAATATTTTATTTATCGAATTTTCCTGTCACTCGATTGAATAAGCTAATCCAATTTCCAGAAGATTTCTCAACATCAAGTGCACCCGCGAGCGAACGAGGAAATTATTGCTCGAGAATATCCTAATCTCTTTTCCTCTATCAAGTTTGCTTTCTCCTTGGTGGCTCTGTCATGATTTACGATTATCGTTCAATATGCCTTTACATTTGTTTTACGTCAGGAAAAACATGTTTTCCAAATTTGAACCGAAAAAAAATAATTCTCTCATCGTATTCTTCAAAGATGCAATTAAATTTCAAAACCAATTTTTAAAAAGCGTTGGAAAATTAAATTCTTTCAGATATAAAATTTATTTCAATGAAATTTGATAAAACTTTGAATTGTTTCAATTTTTTTAAATTGAAACGATCTCCAGAAGGAGATGACAATTAAAAATTTCTCAATTTGACGTTTTGGAACTGGATCCAGTGCCCTCTTCAGAATTTATTACATTTTACTACATATTGAAAAAAAGATATACATGTTTTTTTCGTTCGTAAAGAAAAGCAATAAAATATAATATCAATCGAAATTATTTCAAAATACAATTCAGTTTAAAACAGAAAAAACCATGTATATCATTTTATCAGTATGTAGTAAAATGTAATAAATTCTGAAGGGGGAACTGGATCCAGTTCCGAAACGTCAAATTGAGAAATTTTTAATTGACATGTCCTTTTAGAGATCGTTTCCAACATTCTAAATATTTTTTAGAATTTTTGAATAAATTAATTGAAAATCATTGAATAGTTGCTATAAATTTTATTAAGAAATTTAAAAATAATTGAATTTTTCCGAAAAATTTAATTAAAATTTAATGAAAATAATTGAATTCTTTTGAAGAATTATATCAACATTTTTTTTTAATAATTCAATTTTTCCGACAAATTCTATAAAAATTTTGTTGAAAATAATTGAATTCTTTTGAAGAATTTTATAAAAATTTGTTAAAATAATTCAATTTTTTTCCGAATAATTCTATAAAAATTGAATTAAAAATAATTGAATTTCTTATGAAGAATTTTATTAACATTTCTGTAAATAATTCAATTTTTTCGATGAATTTTGTTAAAATTTTTTAACGTAATTTAATTCCTGCGAATAATTGTATTATTTATGAAAATAATTGAATTTCCGAGTATTATAAACAATTTCATTCAAATTTTTGAAAATACGTAAATTGTTTCTATAAATTTTAGTCAAATTTTTTAAAATAATTAAATTTCTGAGAATAATGTTATTAATTATGAAAATAATTGAATTTGTTTGAAGAATTTTATTATTTATAAAAATAATTCAATTAGAAAGAGTTTTATCAAAGTTTTTGAAAATAATTGAAATATAATGAATTTTATCAAAATTTTTAAAAATAATTAAATTGTCTAGAAGAATTTTATTATTTATGAAAATAATTGAATTCTGTTGAAGAATGTTGTCAAAATTTTCGAAAATAATTGAATTTTTTCGACAAATTCTATAAAAATGTTATTGAAAACAATAATTGAATTTTTCCTACAAATTTAATTGAAAATTACTGAAAATAATTGAATTTTTTTGAAGAATTTTATTTAAATTTTTGAAAATAATTGAATTTTTCATTTAAATTTAAATAAAATTGACTGAAAATAATTGAATTCTTATGAAGAATTTTATCAAAATTTTTGAAAATAATTGAATTTTTCCGACAAATTTCATTAAAATTTACTGAAAATAATTGAATTGTCTAGAAGAATTTTATTATTTATGAAAATAATTGAAGAAGTTTGAAGAATTTTATTAAAATTTTTGAAAATAATTGAATTTCTTCCACAAATTCTATAAAAATTGTATTGAAAATAATTGATTTGTTTTGAAGAATTGCTTTGAATTTTTTTAAATAATGAAGTTTTTTTTAATAATTTTAATTAAAAACTTTAAACACAATTCAATTTGATGACGAATTTCTTTCAAGTTTTTAAAATAATTTTATTTGCCAGTAATTGTAATTATAAACATTTAATTTTTGAAGTTTTTTAAAATTTTTAGAACATAATTAAATTCTTCTCAAAATTGTTTATTGTACAATTTTTTGTTAATGATTCAATTCATTCAAAGAATTTTATTAAAATATTCAAAATAATTGAATTCTTTCGAAGAATAGATAATATTAAAGTTTTTTGAAAATAATTGAATTCTTTCCAAAAGTTTTTTAATTTTTTTGAAAATAATTATTTTTATCAGAATAGGTATTTGTAATTAATTTTATTATTAAATTTTATAAAAAATTATTGACAGAAAATTAAATTCTTTTAAACGCAATTTTATTGAGGAGTTTTAGTAAATAATTTAATTCCTTCGAAGAATTTCTTTGCTTTTCATGCAAAAATATGTATTGTAGATTTTTTAAAATAATTTTAATTGAAAAATTTGAAAATAATTAAATCGTGTCTGTTAATAATTATATAATTAAAAATTTGATTATTGAAGTTTATTGAAATTCTTTGGAAACAATAATTAAATTCTTCTCATAATTTTATTACAATTTTTGAAACCAACTGAATTCTTTGGAGAATTCTTTTTTTGTTTTTAAAAATTGAACTGAGAATAATATTGAATTCATGCGAAGCAATTTATTATTTATGAAAATAATTTTATTCTTATCAAACAATTTTTTAAAAATCTAGAGAATAATTGAATTTTTTGGAAAAATTTTATTACAATTGAAGTTTATATTTGATTATTAATTATTAATTATTTTCTGAATATACTATTTATTAATTTAGTTATTAATTAATTAATTTAGTTATTAATTAATTTATTTAGTTAGTTATTATTTAATTAATTAATTAATTTATTAATTAATTTATTTATTTAGTTACTAATTTATTCATTTAGTTACTAATTAATTTATTTATTGTTACTTGACTTGGCAATTAATTTTTTTCTTACTTTGATTCAGGGTACCTGGAGGGTTGAACCGATGCCTCATAATGGGAGAAGATGACGTTGGGAAGGGCAACTGTCATCATCATCATCCTGAAGATTTTTCCTGCGCGTAACATCGTCGTGGGTGAAGCGAATCTTCATACGATTCCAAGTTGAGGGTGGTGGGAAACGGATGAGAGCGGTTTCATCCGTCGCGAAGAGCGATGAGCGATCTTCAGGCCACCCTCGAGTTCTCTCTCGAGCTTTGCAAGTTTTACAATGTCGATCTCTTTCAGCGCGGGTAAGTACGAGCTAATTTTTATTTCCATTTTTTTCCCCTCTTTAAATCATTTTTTTCCCCCTTTTTTCTTGTTAATAAAGAAATGTCAATTTACCTAATACTTTAAAATGCTAATTTAACGACAAAGGAATATTTAGATTTTTCTTTTTTTTGAATTAAAGCTTTTTTTCAATTTAGTATAATTTCTGAGATTTCTATTTCGAGAAAAGAAAATTATATTTTTTTGCTTTAATATTTTTTCATTGAAAAAAGAAGAGGAAAATAGCGAACTTGCACTCTCTGTTTCATTCACTTTTCATTTTCAAACTCTGAATTGAGTAGTTAGCAAACTATTCAAAGAAGATCAAAGAAAGTCTGAATTTGAATAATACAATCAGAATTAAAGTTTCTTTTCAAAGTCATTTTCAAATTATATTCCTTTACTGAAGTGAATTTTTCTTTTTTAACGCATTCATAAATAAGGACAAAATTGGATTTTTTTATTTTAAATTTCCTTCCTTGTGAAGAAAATTATTTTTCTAACATTTCCTTTTTAGAAAATTAAATAATTTTTCTGAAATTGTAAATTACATTTTTTTCTTACCTTTTTGCAGATATTATCAAATCAGAACTGCTCTCAGAGTTTCGCCAAAGCTGCCCATCAAGGTTGAAGTTAATCAAATGCGAAATCGTAAGTGAAAAACAAATTGCGTTATTATAGAGAAAAATTGTTTCTGTTTTAAAGAAAAAATTCATATCAAAATCAAGGTCATTTTGCTAATGGATTTTTTAACAGTGCATACAGTCTAGTTAATTAGTTCTTTAATTAAATATAGGCAAAGTTTGTCAACTGTTCTCTATATATATAATACATGTATTTCCACATTATATCGACATTGGATTTGTGAATATTTTATTAAGGAACATTGTATGCTCTCAGGAACACGATTATATATTCGGCTTTCAATCTTGGAGACTACCCGTACTAACAATTTAGCACTAATTTTGGAATCTGATTTTGAAAATTGTTTCAGTTTGAGAATATTCTCATTTTTTTTTGTTATATATGCAATTTTGTTTCTACTGTTTCTACCTGTTAAGAATTTAGATTTTTCGAATTTTATTTTTAAAATTATTTCTGTTTGAAAATATTCTCATTTTTTTCTATTTTAATTTTGTTTTTTGTATTGTAATACTTATCAGTTATTTGTTACATAATTTAAAAACTAATTTTCTTTTTCTTTGAGACATTTGTAACTAAAGAGAAATATTGTCAATTTTGAGAATCAGATTTTGAAAATTATTTCACTTTGAAAATATTCTCAATTTTTTCTAATTTTGTTTTTTTCAGGCTTTACACTCAATAATTAATTTTAAAATAGTAGCAAAAAGTAACTTTAAGACTGAGAAGAGTAGTAAAAAAGAAGCTATCAAAAAATTAAATTTGACAACAAAAAAAACTTAGTCGAAAAAAAAACTTTTAGTCGATTCACAAAAATCATCAAAATTTCACTCTGTAGTTCTCAGACTTTTTACTGATTTCCATAAAAAATATTCATTTTTTTTCTTATCACTTCTAAATTTTTCTGAAATTCAATTATTTTCCAAACTTTTAGCTAGAATTCTTCAAAAATCCGTTTGTTATTTAAAAATAATTTGTAAATGGAAAAAAATAAAATTCTGTACATTTATTTTAATTAAATTTGACAAAATTTTCAATTCATAGGAAATTTAAAAAACTAATTTCAATTTTTACGAGTATTTAACTATAATTGAAAAATTTGAATTACAATAATTTTTCGAAAGTTAATTATTTTTCAAAATTTCTAAATTAATTATTGAAAATTAAATATTTTTGCTCAATAAATATTTAAATATTTATTTTTATGGATTTTTCTACAGAAATTAAAATTTTTATTAATTCTAAAGTAATAAGCCTTTTAAAATTTAATTCTTCACCTAGATATTACAACTGTAATTCTTTCGAAATTTAATTTTTTTTTAATCTTTAAATAAAATTACAATAATTGAAAAATTACAATAATTTTTTAGAAAAATAATAATTTAATAATTTTCTAAAATTAATATTTCAATATTTTTACAGTTTTACAACAAATTAAAATGTTTAAAGATTAGATCTTTCGATATTTAATTATTTACAAAATTCGTATACTTCAACGTTTTTAATATTTAATAATTATCCAAAATTTTAACTAAAAATTATTTCTAAATCAATTCTTATTATAAAGTTCTACAAGAATTCAATTATTTGAATACAAAAATAAATTATTAATAGAATAATTGATTATTTCTTAAAATTGAATTCTTATAAAGAATTTTATCAAATTTTTTGAAAATATTTTAATTCTTTTGACGAATTTTAATAAAATTTTTAAGAATAATATTACATTTTTCAAAGAATTCGATTAAAATTTGTTTAAAAATAATTGAAATCCTGCGAAGAATTTTATCAAGAAATTTGAAAATAATTGAATTTTTCCGAGGAATTTCATTATTGAAAATCATTGAATTGTCTAGAAGAATTTTATTACATATTTATGAAAATAATTGAATTCTGTTCAAGAATGTTTTCAAATTTTTTGAAAATAATTGAATTTTTTTCCTACAAATTTCAATAAAATTTACTGAAAATAATTGAATTTTTTTGAAGAATTTTATTGAAATTTTTGCAAATAATTGAATTTTTCTGTCAAATTTCATTAAAATTTACTGAAAATAATTGAATAGTTTCGAAGAATTTTATCAAAATTTTTGAAAATAATTGAATTTTTCCGTCCAATTTCATTAAAATTTACTGAAAATAATTGAAAATTATCAAAATTAAATTTTTGAAAATAATTGAATTTTTCCCACAAATTTCCTTCAAATTTTTGAAAATAATTGAATTGTTTAGAAAAATTTTATTATTTATGAAAATAATTGAATTCATGCAATGAATTGCAAATTTTTTTTAGTTTCTAATTAACAAATTATAATTGATTTTGAATTAATAATTTTATTATTAAATAATTGAATTCCTGAGAAAAATTTTATTTTTTGCAAAAAGTAATTTAATTCTGGCTAAGAATTTTATTAAAATTTCAGAAAATAATTGGATTTGTTTTTTCATCATTTTATTAAAATTTAAAAGAATAATTCAATTAGCATTTCGGATAATTTAATTAATAGTTTTTTTTAATAATTGAATATTCTTGTGATGAATTTTATTATTTTTGAGAGTAAATTAGTTTCTATAAATTAATTTCATCAAAATGTTTGTAAAGAAATTAATTTTTTTCGAAGAATTTTATTAAAATATTTTAAGTAATTGATTTCTTTCGAAAAATTTTAAAATTCGGAATAAAAATAAAAAAGTAGCTTATAGTGTCACAAACATCTAAGAAAAAAGTATCCAAATAATAGCAAATCGTAAAAAAAAGTAGTAAATTGTAGGTTTTTAGTAGATGAGTGTGAAGCCTGTCTTTTTCTATTGTTGTTTAGGTATTAAAAATTTATTAAATTATTAAAAATAATCAAAAAATGATTTTTTTTTGTTAAAAATTATTTTTTTATTTATTATCTACATACGAATTTTATTTATATAGTTTTTAGTATTTATATATTTATTATTTATATATTTCGTATTTATAAATTTATTACAATTTCATATTTAGTGTTTATACATTTAGTAATGGCAGTTACATTATTAAATAATTTTCAAAAAGAAATTTTCCTCGAAGACATATTTGTAATCAAAGTGAAATATTGTCAATTTCAAGATTTAAGAGAGCAAGTTTGTCGCGTTTCCCATTTTTCGATCGCAAGGATCGAAGTTTATTATATATCTGAAATGAAAGGAAAATAAGAGAAGTAAAGAAGTAAAAAAAAAAATGTAATTTATTTTTCAGACTCGTTGGAAGCGCCGGGTACAAGCAAGCGTTTTCAGATTTTCTATCGGAACGAAGAGGTGACACTTGGCACGTCGGTCTTGTTTCGTGCGCACGTGCTCGTGCACAGTCACAAGATCGAGGAGGTTCTCTCTCGTACCCACTTTAATCTTGGAGTTGAGTTATGGTTCAGCGAACCAACTCAACCCGGAAATATGGCATGTGTATCATCGAGGTGAGTTTCTGATCCGCGAACTGTTTTTTCCTTTTTTTCATTTTTAATCATCAGCCTCGTCAAAATTAACTTCTTTCCTTTTTTACTTCTTTTTCTTTTTATAATGAATTCTTCATTCAAAAATTGCAATTTTCTTTCAAATATTCTTTCAAAGAAAATTGCAACTTTTAATTATTTACGTTTTGTGAAAAAAAAAATCTTTGGGAATTATTGTCAAAAATTGATTCAAATCGAAAAATAAACCTTTCGAAAGGTTTTTTTATGCTATAAATAAAAGAAAATCGAAAAATATTTTTTTTAAAAGAACTATTTATCAAAATTGTAGATTAAATTCGAAAATTAATTTTTTATTGTCCAGAAAAATCGAAAGGCGATAAAAGATTTTAATGCGATAATTATTCATTGTTTTTCAGAGCCCTTCAATTGAATTTCGTTCCGACAAAGGGTCTGCACTATCATCTGCCGGTGTTGTTTGATTATTTTCATCTTGCCGCTGTATCAATCACGATTCACGCTTGTCTAGTGGCTCTCCATCAGCCGTACATAAAGTCGGTATATTGCAAACAATTTTTGAAATTTGTACCCTCGATGGAAACAATTTTGCAATATCTCTTCAATTTTTTTTGTTTCATGCTGCAATTTGGGATAATTCAGAAAAAGTATTCTTCATTACGTTCAAAGTTGGTGAGTTTTCATTTCTCTTTTTTCTAATCAGTTGAATTGTATTTTTTTCTTGATTAAAAAATTTTTTTTGCTTTTAGCGCTCCAAGAGGTGGAAAACCATGGGTCCAGGTTAAATCGACACCAAATGCTGATAACAATCTATTCTTTGGAAATATAGTGAGTTTCTAATCTAATTTCACTTAAATATTTCAAAATTAACTCAATTTTAAAAAAATTGCGTTTACAATTTTCATAAGTAGATGAACTTTAAAAGATTTTAATTTAAAATTTTGTGAAATTTCAATTTTAAATAAATTTAATTTGAAATATAAAAAAAAATTTAGATTTAAAAAAAGATTTTAAAAACTGAAATTCTTCTGAAATTAGTTAACTTTTTTAATATAATATATTTAACTAGTTTTATTAAAAATAATGGATTTATAGAAGAATTTTAGTTAAAAACACTAAAACAAATTGAATTTTAGCAATTACAAATAATTGCAGAAATTCAATTATTTTCAAAAGTAGTAAAATTCTTCTCAAAAATTAAATTATTTTCAAAAATGTAAAAAAGATTCTTGTCAAAATTTTAATTATTTTCTAAAAATTTCCTTAATTCAATAATTTTTAATATCTAATACTTTAATAAAAATTCCCTAAAGAATTCAATTTTTTTTTCAAAAATGTTGATGAAATTTACTTATAAGGACTAATTTATTGTCATAAATAATAAAATTCATCACTAGAATTCAGTTACCTATTTTTAAAAAACTATTAATTAAATTATTCGAAATCCTAATTGAATTATTCTTTTAAATTTTAATAAAATGATGAAAAAACAAATTCAATTATTTCCAGAAATTTTAATAAAATTTTTCGCAAGAATTCAATTACTTTTTGCAAACAATAAAATTTTTCACAGGAATTCAATTATTTAAAAATAAAATTATTAATTTAAAATCAATTAGTTCAAAAATTTTAAAGAAATTTGTATCAAAAATTCAATTATTTTCAAAAATTTTGATAAAATTCTTCAAAAGAATTCAATTATTTTCAGTAAATTTTAATGAAATTTGCCGGAAAAATTCAATTATTTGCAAAAATTTGATAATTTTCTTCAAAAAAATTCAATTATTTTCAGTAAATTTTAATTAAATTTGTAGGAAAAATTCAATTATTTTCATTAACATTTTTATAGAATTTGTCGAAAAAATGCAATTATTTTTAAAAATTTTGACAACATTCTTCAACAGAATTCAATTATTTTCATAAATAATAAAATTCTTCTAGACAATTCAATTATTTTCAATAAATTTTAATGAAATTTGTCGGAAAAATTCAATTATTTTCAAATTTCTTGATAAAATTCTTCACAGGATTTAAATTATTTTTAAAACAATTTTAATCGAATTCTACGAAAAAAAAGTTATTATTCTTAAAAATTTTATTAAAATGTATCAAAGAAATTTAATTATTTTAATAACCTTGGCTACACTTTATTTATTAGAATTTGAGTATTATTTTTAATAAATTTTTAATTAAATTTCTTTAAAGAAAAAATTATTTTAAAAAATTTTAATGCAATTCCTTGCGTAACAATACAATTTTTTTCAAAATAATTTTAATAAAATTCTTCGCAAACATTCAATTAAGTTTAAAAATTTACAAAAATTCTCGTCAAAATTTCAATTATCTTTATATATGAATAATAACATTTTCCTCTTAATTCAATTATTTTCAAAAATTTTAATAAAATTCTTGGCAGAATTTCAATTATTTTTAATACAATTTTTATCAATTTCTCGAATAATGCAATTACTCTTAAAAATTTTATTAAAATTTGTCAAGAGAATTAAATTACTTGAAAATTCGTTGATAAAATTCTTTATAAAAAATCAAATTTAAGAAACATTGAATTGTTTAATAAAATATTTATTTTTATAGTTAAATAATTAAATTCTCGTAGAATTTTCTAATAAATATTGATTTAAAAATGAATTTCAAATTAAAATCTTTGAAATTTGAACTTTTCATACTTTTAATTAAGAATTTTATAGAATTAATTTTTCTCAATAAGTTTAATGGAATTTTTTTTAATTTGAAGTTTTTAATTTCTAATATAGTTAACTGAAGAATGTCAGAATAATCGAAATTTCGTAAAATTAAATCGTAAACAAAAGAATTTGAAAATTCACAAAGAACTTTTTCAAAAATTATTTTTAAAAAATTGATTTAAAGAAGAATTTTGGTTCAAAATTCTAAAAATAAATAATCGTAATGATGAAAATAATTTTTGAAGAAGTTACAGTAACAAAGTAGCAAGTTTTAATTATTATAAAACATGAAGAAAGCGATTACTCCGAGTCGAAGGCTCGGAGTGATCGATATCTTCATGTTTTATAATAAATATTCTTTTATGTTATTAAATTTCAAATTTTCGAATATCTTAATTTCTATAAAAAATAATGATTAAATATTTATTTAAAAATGAAGTTATTGATGTTTTCGAATAATTTTCATTTTAAAAATCTGAAAAATTCCGTTTTTTAACCTAGAATAGTCAGGGAATTTAAAAAGAGCAAAAGTGTGGCAACCCTGTTTTTTATTATTTTAATTATTATATTTTAATCATTATTTAAATTATTAAAAAAATTGTAATAATAAATTTTAATAATAAATATTTTTTAATGTCTTTAAGGAAACGACGACACGATGTGTTGGATCAGCGACGAGGATTCAGCACGCGAAATTAGTTCAGCAGGAAGTTACGAGATTGCTCTTAGCGGCTCGCGAATCTTTGCTCAATGATTTAGCTGATCTTGCGAGGCTTCTTCCCACGTGGCAGCAAAGAACGTTGGAAGTTGCTCAGAATACACACAAAGAAATCACCAAGGTTTCTAGAAATCAATAATATATATATATTTATAAGTAAATTGAAAAAAATATTCTTCAGTTTTCTTTCTTAAATGAAATTAATTTCTTTCTTTTTTTTTCTCCCGCCTATAATAGAAGATCGATACTGAAGAGGCTGACATTGCACAGCTTTGCGCTCAAAATATCGTTCTTTGGCAACATTTTTTGGAAGCTTTCTCAGGCAGAGAGGCTATTCATCAACATCTGGCAAGAGTTCATCATCAATTAAGGGTAAATTTGTCTTTTTTTCTTCATTCTTATCGTTGGAAATATTTTTCTGATTGCTAAAAGAGGAGAATAGAAGGAAAAGAAAGAAGAAAAGGAATAAAACCCTCTGAGTAAAATAGGCTTCTCACTCATCTACTAAAAACCTACTATTTACTACTTTTTTTTACGATTTGCTTCTATTTGGATACTTTTTTTCTTAGATGTTTGTGACACTATAAGCTACTTTTTTTATTTTTATTCCGAATTTTGCAATTATTTGAAAGAAATCAATTACTTAAAATATTTTAATAAAATTCTTCGAAAAGAATTAATTTTTTTTCAAAAATTTTGATAAAATTTGTTCATAGGAACTAATTTATTCTCTTAAATAATAAAATTCATCACTAGAATGTTCAATTATTTTTAAAAGACTAGTCATTAAATTATTAGACATCCTAATTGAATTATTCTTTCAGATTTTAATAAAATGATTAAAAAACAAATTCAATTATTTACAGAAATTTTAATAAAATTCTTTCGCAAGAATTCAATTATTTAAAAAAAATTTAATAATTAAAAATCAATGATAATTTATTGATTAAAAACTAATCGAATTTTCCTAATTCTTCGCATGGTTTCAATTATTTTAAATATACAATTTTAAATGATTTCATTCGAAAAATGAAATTATTTTTGAAAATTTTATTAAAATTCATGAAAAAATCAATTAATTTCGAAAAATTCCATAAAATACTTTATAAGAATTCAATTTTAAGAAAAAAACAATTGTTTTGACAATTATTTATGTTCGTATTCAAATAATTGAATTCTCGTAGAACTTTCTAAAAAGAATTGATTTAAAAATTAATTTCAATTCTTTACAAAAATTTTCATAAAATTCTTCGCAAGAAATCAGTTACTTTTTGCAAATAGTAAAATTTTTCACTGAAATTTAATTATTTAAAAATAAATTTAATAATGGAAAATCAATTATAATTTATTAATTAAAAACTAAAAAAAAATTCTAATTGGTTGCATAAATTCAATTATTTTCATAAATAATAAAATTCCTCGCAGAATTTCAATTATTTTGATTACCTACAATCTTTATAGAATTTGTCGGAAGAATTTAATTATTTTCAAAAATTTTGACAAAATTCTTCAAAGAAATTGAATTATTTTCAGTAAATTTTAATGAAATTTGTCGGAAAAATTCAATTATTTTCAATAACATTTTTATAGAATTTGTCGAAAAAATTCTAGACAATTCAATTATTCTCAATAAATTTTAATTAAATTTATTGGAAAAATTCAAATATTTTCATAAATAATAAAATTTTTCTAGACAATTCCATTATTTTAAAAAATTTTACGGAAATTTGTCGGATGAATTCAATTATTTTCAGGAAATTTTTATAGAATTTGTCGAAAAAATTCAATTATTTTCAAAAATTTTGACAACATTCTGCAACAGAATTCAATTATTTTTAAATTTCTTGATAAAATTCTTCGCAGGATTTCAATTATTTTTAAAACCATTTTAATCAACTTCTTCGAAAAGTGAATTATTCTTAAAAATTTTATTAAAATTCGTCGAAAGAATTCAAATATTTTTGATAAATTTAATAATAATTTATTATTTTTGTAAAAAATTATTGAAGTTTTGAATAATTTTATTTAAAAATTTAAAAAAAATTAAATTTTAAAAAAGTTACAAAAGAAGAATTAAATTTTAAAAAGCTTTTACTTTAAAATTATAGAAAGTGAATTTATCAATTAATAAAAATTTTAAATTCTGTAGAAAACTCCATAAAAATAAGTATTTAAATATTTATTTAACAAAAATATTTAATTTACAATAATTTAATTTAGAACTTTTGAAAAATAATTAACCTTCGAAAAATTGTAATTAAAATTTTTCAATTTCAGTTAAATACTCGAAAAAATTGAAATTAGTTTTTTAAATTTCCTATTAATTGAAAATTTTGTCATACTTAATTAAAATAAATGTACAGAATTTTATTTTTTTCCTTTTACAAATTACTTTTAAATAACAAACGGATTTTTGAAGAATTCTATCTAAAAGTTTGGAAAATAATTGAATTTCAGAAAAATTTAGAAGTGATAAGAAAAAGAATGAATATTTTTTATGGACATCAGTAAAATTTTGATGATTTTTGTGAATCGACTAAAACAAGTTTTTTTGTCGTCAAATTTAATTTTTTGATAGCTACTTTTTTACTACTTTTTTCTGTCTTAAAGCTACTTTTTGCTACTATTTTAAAATTAAGTTTAATTAATTTTCATTCAATTTAACTTAATTTAATTAATTAATTTCAAAAGAATTGAAAAATAAATTTAAACTATAAAAAATTCGAATTGTAATTAATTTAAATGAATTTAATTTTAATTTAATTATTGAACGTGAAGCCTGCTAGAAGAAAGTAAAATAATTTGGTGTTCTTCGTCTCCAGGTGAAGCGATTCGCAGAGGGATTTTTCGTCTCGGAAAATCCTAGAACATCGGCAGCGGGTTGCTACGACGCTAACTATCAATCTTATCAAGCGGTTAGTGAGGCAGCCAGGAGATCTCGTTATTTAGCCGCTTTACCACCCTTACCAGTGCATTGTCCCGAATTGGACGGCGATCTTCACACTCTGCCCTTGATCTTCGAAGATCAGTACGCCGACATGCAGCAGAGGCACCGAAACAGTGGTAAATATTCCAAATTGTTTTTCAATAATTACTTTTTCAAAAAACAATTCAAAAATAGATCAGAAATCGATTAATAAAATTTCAATTGCAGTTTCCGACATAGACGATTGTAGTTGTGGCATTAATCAAATGATGGATTCGCGAAACGTGAGTGTTTGGTCGCCGCGTAGTGACGGTGGAGTGGACATTAATTCGATTCAAGCACGATTTATGTTGACGCCCTCGGCGCGACATAGTAAATCGCTGGATCAATTGGGACCGGAAATAACGCCTCAACAACCGAGGACATCGCCTAAAACCCTACCAAGATCGGCGTCAACGCAACTCTTTCCAAGGCAACAGCGTGGCGTGAGAAATATCACACCGCCCACGAGTGTTCCATCGCGAGGGCGATCAAAATCATCAATGTCCTCCTCGGGCGCAACACTTATTCCACCAACACGCCAACAGGCTTGTTCCGCACCAAATCCATCGCTGGGCTCAACACCAATTGCCACTCTTCCACGAGCAAAATCAACTCAAATGCTGGTGCCAAATTCCTGTCAACAATCGACATCAATCACTTCACTCTTGGCAGCGATGTTCCCTGAAATTCCCTCCGGCGATCATTTTCCTGGTTATCGACCCTCAACAAAATTGTACGAGCACAATCTCACTGTACCGTCGTGCGTGGGAACTTTGGATCTAGCGCAGCTCACCAGCTGTTTCAATTCGAATTCAAAGGCTGCCAATTTCATTGGCGACGGTGCGTGCCAATTTTTTTTTCATATCAAAAATATGCTTGCCACAAGTCAGGAAAGTCAGGGAAATCAGGGAAAAGTCAGGGATTTTTATTAAAAGTACTTATAAACTATGAAATTGACAAGAATTCTAATCCAAACCCTTCAATTTTTTCTATTTTTGATAATAATTTCTTTTTAAATAACTTAATTCTTGAAGAACGATAGTTCTTATAATATTGTTATATTATAACTTATAAATTATTATTTAATGAATAATTTTACTTAAACAGTTCGAAATTAATTGGATTTGAAAAAAGTTGCGTTTACAATCTTCATAAATAGATGAACTTCAAAGGTTTCAATTTGAAATTTTAGAAAATATCAATTTTTAATTTAAATAGAATTAAAATAGAAGTTAAATAGAAATTTTAAGAACAACTAATTACAGAAATTCAATTATATTAAAAAAATTTAATACAATTCTTGGCAAAATTTCAATTCTTTTTAAAAATTTCCCTTATTTCAATTATTTTTAATATCTACTACCTATTTTAATAAAATTTTCCAAAAGAATTCAATTATTTCGAAAAATTTAAATAAAAATTTCACAGGAATTCAATTACTTACCAATTTTTCATAAATTTCTTTGCACCAATTCAATTATTTTTAATTTTTAATTAAATTTCACGAAAGAACTCAAATACATTCAAAGAATTGAAAAAAAGTAGTCCTGACAAATTCAATTATTTCGAAAAATTTAAAAAAAATTCTTTTAAAAATTCTATTATTTAAAAAAAAATTTGACAAAATTCTTTACAAGATTTAGTTAATAAAATTAGAATTTTAATATATTTTCCTATTCAATTCAATTATCTTCAATAGAATTCCAATACATTTATTTATGGGAATACAATTATTTAAAAAAAATTTGAATAAAATTCTTCGCAAAATTCAATTATTTTCATAAATAATAAAATCTTTCTCGAGAATTCAATTATTTAAAAAATAAGCATTTTCACAGGAATTTAATTATTTAAAAAAAAATTCAATAAAATTCTTCGTCAGATTTCAATTATTTTCAATTTTTTAATAAAATTTCTTGATGGAATTTAATTATTTTCAAAAAGTTTAAAAAAATTCACAGAAATTCAATTATTTCTAAAAATTTAAATAAAATTCTTTTAAAAATTATATTATTTAACAAAATTTAATGACAAAATTCTTTACAAGATTTAGTTATTAAAATTTTCCTGTACTATTTAATTATTTTTAATACAATTCTTCTAAAGAATTCAATTATTTTCATAAATAATACATTTTTTATGGAAATTCAATTATTTAAAAAAATTTTGAATAAAATTATTCGGAAAAAATCAATTCTTTTCATAAATAATAAAATTTTTCTCGAAAATTCAATTGTTTAAGAAATTATAATAAAATTGTTCCCAAGAATTCAATTCTTTTCAAAAATTAGCATTTTCACAGGAATTTAATTATTTTAAAAAAATATAATGTAATTCGTTGTCAGATTTCAATTATTTTTAATTTTTTAATGAAATTTCTCAATGGAATTTAATTATTTTAAAAAAGTTTTTAAAAATTCTGAGAAATTCAATTATTTAAAAAAATTTGAATAAAATTCTTCACATAAAATTAATTATTTTCAGAAATAATAATTCTTGTCTTCGGAATTCAATTATTTTCACAAATAAAATTCTTCACAGGAATTCAATTCTTTAAAAAAATTTCTAATAAAATTCGTTGAAAGAATTCAATTATTTTCATAAATAACAAACCTTATCGCAGAATTTCAATTATTTTTTATACAATTTTAAATAAAATGATAGAAAATTGCTTTTATTGAAAATTTTTTTTTAAATTCGCCGAAAAATTTCAATTATTTTTAAGAATTTTGACTAAAATTCTTGATAAAAATTCAATTTTAAGAAATATTCAATTATTCAATAAACTAGCCAAACTATCCGCGCGCAAGCGCGCGGGAATGTTGTATGGGGCTGCTTATTTTAAACAATTTAAAAAATTTTAAAGAAATAATTATTATAACCTAACAAAGAGATTTAACTAACTAAAATTTAAATAATTTCACTCAATGGTCTCAATTTAAATAGAATTTACATTACTAGACTTAAACTATGGCTAGAACAATTACAATTAGTATCTGGGTCATCTTTTGCATTGCTTATTTTATAAAGCCATTTTAAATTAAATACTTTTCAAAGAAATAATAATTATTACACAATGAAAAAAGTTTTACTTGAAATAGCGATAAGTTTCTCTAGAATAACGGAAGTATTAATTGAAGCACTGAAAAATTTCGCTACTAAAGTGAAATCTGTAGTTCATCCAGCCAAATATTTTTTGCCGTGCATAACGAAAAAAGAATTAAATTAACATCAGATTTTCTACATTAAAAAAAACGAATTCAAATAGAAATTAATCATTTTACAACTTAACCAAATTCACCCCAAAAATCACTGAATTCGATCGATAATTTAGAAGAAAGTCAGACAAAAGCAGGGTTCCTACAGAATCTGGAAAATCATGAAAATGGTATGGAATTTTTAAATGGCTTCTGGAAATCAGGGAAATCATGGAAAAGGCCTGGAATTTTTAAAAGTTTCTAAATATTTTCAGTTTTCCATTTTTTCTCTTGAATAAAAATTCAAATAATAATAAAGCTAAATGGCATAAAAGACAAAAAAAAAAATGTTGAATTTTAAGCAATTCGATTTTTCGGATTTTTGATAATTTTTAATAATTTTTGATTTTTTACCAAAGAGTCGAGACAATTTAATAAGTAAAGTATTTTCCAAAAGCACAAAAATAATGAAGCTAAATCCCATAAAAGAGAAGAAAAAATGTTGAACTTTAAGAAATTTGGATTTTTGAATTTTTGATAATTTTCGATAATTTTACATTTTTTACCAAAGAGTCGAGACAATTTAATAAGTAAAGTATTTTCCAAAAGCACAAAAATAATGAAGCTAAATCCCATAAAAGAGAAGAAAAAATGTTGAACTTTAAGAAATTTGGATTTTTGAATTTTTGATAATTTTCGATAATTTTACATTTTTTACCAAAGAGTCGAGACAATTTAATAAGTAAAGTATTTTCCAAAAGCACAAAAATAATGAAGCTAAATCCCATAAAAAAGAAGAAAAAATGTTGAATTTTAAGAAATTCGGATTTTTGAATTTTTGATAATTTTCAATAATTTTAGATTTTTTACCAAAGAGTCGAGACAATTTAATAAGTAAAGTATTTTCCAAAAGCACAAAAATAATGAAGCTAAATTCCATTAAAGAGAAGAAAAAATATTGAATTTTAAGAAAATCGGATTTTTGAATTTTTGATAATTTTCAATAATTTTAGATTTTTTACCAAAGAGTCGAGACAATTTAATAAGTAAAGTATTTTCTAAAAGCACAAAAATAATGAAGCTAAATCCCATAAAAGAGAAGAAAAAATGTTGAATTTTAAGAAAATCGGATTTTTGAATTTTTGATAATTTTTGATAATTTTAGATTTTTTACCAAAGAGTCGAGACTATTAAATAAGTAAAGTATTTTCCAAAAGCACAAAAATGATGAAGCTTAATCCTATAAAAGAGAAGAAAAAATGTTGAATTTTAAGAAAATCGGATTTTTGAATTTTTTCGAATTTTTGATAATTTTAGATTTTTTACCAAAGAGTCGAGACTATTAAATAAGTAAAGTATTTTCCAAAAGCACAAAAATAATGAAGCTTAATCGCATAAAAGAGAAGAAAAAATGTTGAATTTTAAGAAAATCGAATTTTTGAATTTTTTCGAATTTTTGATAATTTTAGATTTTTTACCAAAGAGTCGAGACAATTTAATAAGTAAAGTATTTTCCCAAAGCACAAAAATAATGAAGCTAAATCACATAAAAGAGAGGAAAAAATGTTGAATTTTAAGAAATTCGGATTTTTGAATTTTTGATAATTTTCGATAATTTTAGATTTTTTACCAAAGAGTCGAGACAATTTAATAAGTAAAGTATTTTCCAAAAGCACAAAAATGATGAAGCTTAATCCCATAAAAGAGAAGAAAAAATGTTGAATTTTAAGAAAATCGAATTTTTGAATTTTTTCGAATTTTTGATAATTTTAGATTTTTTACCAAAGAGTCGAGACTATTAAATAAGTAAAGTATTTTCCAAAAGCACAAAAATAATGTAGCTAAATCCTATAAAAGAGAGGAAAAAATATTGAATTTTAAGAAATTCGGATTTCTGAATTTTTTAGAATTTTTGATAATTTTAGATTTTTTACCAAAGAGTCGAGACAATTTAATAAGTAAAGTATTTTCCACATTAAAAAGTTTGACATTAAAAAATAAAAAATGCCAATACTTAACCCACAAAATTTAATTTTCAAAACAAACAAATGAATGCAGATAATTTGCTAACGGAAAGGAAACTTACGATTATTATAATGTACTAGCAAAAACTGACGCGCGCGAGCGCGCGTGCATTTTTTTTTTCAACGTTTTATTTTAAATAATTAAAACTTTATTTTTTCAGCGAATTTGAACCATTATGATGTCACAATTTTTTAGCAAATGCTGTGAACAAATTGTGACGTCATTATGGTTCAAATGCCATTAAAGAAATTATTTCATCTTCTATTAATTAATATATTTTTGCATTTTCTTTTTTTATATAAATAAATTAAAATTTTTATTTATTAATTGAAAATATCTGTTCGCAGTTTATATTTTTTTTTTGTTTAATATTTTAATAATTTTATGTTTTAATATATATATAAATATATTTTTTCTATTAAAATAGCAATTCTTTAAAATGATTATTATTATTTTTAAGGGTATTTTAATTATTATTATGACGTTATAATGTTTTAAATAAATTTAAAAAATGGAAATGCTGGAAAGAATGAAAAATACATTTTTTTTAGAAATATAAAATTATTCAATTAACATCTTCTATCTTTATATCTTCTCTCTATATTAATATCTTCTTCTTCTATCTTCTTTGATTTAGTTGTAATTTACTTTTTTGTTTCCTATCTTCTTTAATAATTTTATGTTTCAATATTTTTAATTTTAGAGGCATTTCACGTCAGAAATATCACGATTTGCAAAGGGTATGCCGATTTTCGCAAAACTTCGTGGGATTATAGTTCTATATAAGAGACTTCTTTCCCCCAAATTTTTTCAAAAAAAATTCAAAATTGTTGAAGATACGCCATTTTGAATTTTAATATTAATTTTATAAAATTTTGAATATCTCGGAATATTGTTTATGGATTTTTATGAAATTTACACATTTTTCAGGTAAAAGTATGTACTTTAAAATGCAAATAAAGTTAATAAAAAAAAATTAATTTTTAAATAAAAAAATTAAAAAAAATTTTTTTAAACAATTTTTTGTTTATTTACTCCTCTCTGAGAAAAATGTTATTAACATATTTGGATTCCTTATGAATTCACCTTTAATTTCATAAAAAAAAATTGATGGAGACTCAACTGGTTCCGGAGATATTGAATTTTTTGTAAAAAAAAGCGTCGCCGCGCCATAGCACCATACTGCACAAGTCGCGTAGTACGTTACCGCAGTCGTGCATTGCTGCTGTAACTATGACTATTTTTTTACAAAAAATTCAATATCTCTGGAACCAGTTGAGTCTCCATCAATTTTTTTTTATGAAATTAAAGGTGAATTCATAAGGAATCCAAATATGTTAATAACATTTTTCTCAGAGAGGAGTAAATAAACAAAAAATTGTTTTAAAAAATTTTTTTTAATTTTTTATTTAAAAATTAATTTTTTTTTTTATTAACTTTATTTGCATTTTAAAGTACATACTTTTACCTGAAAAATGTGTAAATTTCATAAAAATCCATAAACAATATTCCGAGATATTCAAAATTTTATAAAATTAATATTAAAATTCAAAATGGCGTATCTTCAACAATTTTGAATTTTTTTTGAAAAAATTTGGGGGAAAGAAGTCTCTTATATAGAACTATAATCCCACAAACTTTTGCGAAAATCGGCATACCCTTTGCAAATCGTGATATTTCTGACGTGAAATGCCTCTTTAATTAAAATTAATATATTGAATTTCATTTAAATTCTTGCAAAAAATTTGAGAATCATTGAATTTCTTCAAAAAATGTCATTATTTATGAAAATAATTCAATTTTCGCTAAAAATCATTAAATCAATTTTGGAAACCCTAATTAAATTTTTCTGAAGAATTATTTTTTATTTTTTGTTTAATAATTGTGTTTCTTTAATAATTTTAATTGGATATTTTTAAAGTAATTTAAATTTATGAACAATTTTTTTCAAGTTTTTAAAACTAATTTTTAAATTTGTAAATTTAGTTGAAACATCTATTGTTTACATTTATCCCTTGTTTACAATTACCCCAAATGGCCCTAATTGTAAATTGATTGTTTTGTTGATTTTTGAATTTTATTTCGGAATAATTCAATTTTTTATTATGTATTTTTCATGATTTGAAGACTTTATATAGTCTTTAAAAGACTTGATAGTATTTAAATAGTTGAAATGAAAGGCGGTGCCTAAAGTATTTTTTTTAAGTTCATTATTTTTTTTTCTTTTTAGAAAATCTATTTTCTATAATATTGTGTTAAAAAAAACGTTAACATTTTATATTTTATTTGAACAGAAGATAACGATAAGTTTAATTCTTGCAAAAGAAAGCACTTATAAGTTAATTCTACACACAAACACACACAGAAATACGTTTATTTTTTACGTAAGTGCCAATAAATTAATTTCAATTTTTTATTTAAAATGAAATAATTTAATTTTGAATTAATTGTATTTTTGATATTTGAATAATTAATTATTATTTTGAACAATTACATTTTTCAATGATTTCAAAATAATTAAATTTTTATTAAAAACAGAATAATTTATTTTTGAATTAATTAAAATTGTTTGATTTATTTTTGAATAATTAATAATTGACTTTTGAATTATTTAAAATTCAAATATTGTAAAAAATTAATAAAATATTTAAAAAAACAATTTATTTTTAACATAATAAAAAAAGTAATTTATTAAAATACTAAATTCAAATAGATTTTGAATTGCAATTATTTTTAAAAATAAATAAATTTTTTGTGTAAAATCATTTTTTTAAAATTAATTAAAATTTGAAACAATTGAATTTTTTTTTTTCATTTTTGAAAAATTAATTATTTCGAACAATTTTTTAAACATAAAAGAACCAGGAGCTATTATCACTCATAATAGCAATCAAAAAAAGCACACACTAAAGGGATCGCTCTTCCCAAAAAATTTAGACTCTAGATCCTGCACTGTATAAGTTAATAATTGAAGATTAATTAAATTTTTGAAAAATTAAATATTAAAAAATTAATTATTTTGAATAATTAATATTATTGAATAGTAATTTACGAAAACGACCAATGTAATAAAATTTAGAACGATATTTTTTATTGATTCAGGAAAATTGAATTTTTTAATTAAAATTAATAATCGTTGAAAATTGAAAATAATACAACTTTTATTGACAATTCGATATTTCAGTTTTTTTAGATTTTAAAAATGCATAAAATTTTCAATAATAATAATAAATCAAAATACAATAAATATTATCAATTATAATTATAAATAAAAAAAAATAATAATAATAATAATAAGATATACGAATAAAATTTGTTTTTAAGTTATTTTGAGATTTTTATTTAACAAAATAAAATGAAATAATATAAATGATTTAATTAAGAAGAAAATTTTAATTAATAATTAGAATTTACCAATCTACAGTTTTTTTTCCACTGAAAACGGTAACCTCTCGCCTGATACCAGATATTTTTCCACGATTTTTCAAACACAATAATTCTTGTCACAATTTAACGTTTTTTAAAAACACCCGCACTACCGCATAACATAACATCGGAAATGTCAAAACATCACGAAAAATATAAACAAACAAAAAAATCATGATAATAATTCGCAAATGATAACTAACAACTAACTTCATACTGCGAACGGACAGAATGAAAAACCACAGACTTTAATAAAGTTAATTATTTATTTTTGTATTTAAATAATTGAATTCTCGAAAAATTTTAGATAATAATTGAATATTAAAATCATTATAGCGTGAATTTATAGAAATTATTGAATTTTGAAAAGGGTTCAAATTAAAATCTTTGAAAATTTGAATTTGTAATTACAATATTCTTATGATATAAAATAATGATTTTATCATTCTGTCATCTTAAATATATTACAAAACATGAGGAAACCGATCATTCATGTTTTATAATAATATTCTCATAAGTTATTAAATTTGAAAATCTTAATTCCTATTGAAAAATAATAATGATTAAATATTTATTGAAAAAATAAGTTATTGATGTTCTTCAGGCTCAGGGAAAAAATGAAAATTTTGTCTGGAAATCAGGGAAAGGTCAGGGAAAAACAAAATTAAAGTTTTGTGGTAACCCTGAAAAACAAATTATTTATAACTCACATGTAAATTTATAACTCATTTTTACATTTATATCTCTCCTTTACAGGTACTCATTCATTAGACACGAGGCGAATACGACTAGAACCAAGAAGTCATCGACTCGCTCTACGTGCGCCAAATTTGAGCGATCAAATTATTTTCGCTCCTGTCAAAACGACGACCAATGGTAATAATAGTTTTTTACCCGAGACACAAGGTCTCTGTACGGCAACTCTCGATCGAGTTACGTATCGCGATCCGAGTAAAAAACACAGTCAACAAGCCAACAAGTATCTTTCGAATACATTCGACAATCGACGTTGTCACACCTCGAGAAATAGGGAGTCTAACGAAATTACCAACGGGACGAATAATCATCTACTCACTGATCCTGTCGACAAGAGATCAACATTCTATGGAAATGAATCGTTGCCCTATCGGACAAACGGTATTAATGGGAAATTGAAGAAACCAAAGAGTACCGAACGACTCTTCGATGATTCAACTTCGAGGTAATTCAAACTACAGGCTTTGCGCTTATCTACTAAAACCTACTATTTACTACTTTTTTTACGTTATGTTACTATTTTGGTACTTTTTTAGATATCAGCCACTAAAAGCTACTATTTTGGTTTTTTTTTGAGAATTTCTACAACTTTAAATTCGTTAATACTAGAAAACAAAAAACTATTCTCAAAAATTATAATCAAATTCTTTAAAACGATTCAATTATCTTCAAAAAATATTCGTAATTCAATTATTTTCACAAATAAAGTTTTTCTCAAGGATTCAATTATTTAAAATAAAAGTTTCATAATTTGATATAATTTGATATATTTTGAAATCAGCAACTATTCAATTATTTTCATAAATAATAAAATTCATGGCAGGATTTCAATTATTTTTAATACAATTTTACTGGAATTTTTCAAAAAATGTAATTACTCTTAAAAATTTAATTACAATTCTTCGAAAAAATCAGTAATTTAACAAAATATTTTTTTTAAATGCTTTGGAAGAATGCAATTATTTACAAAAATAATAGAATTTTCCACAGGAATTCAATTATTTTTAAATATTTTAATAAAATTGTTCGAAAGAAATCAATTATTTTAAATACAATTTTAATTAAATTTTTTTGAAATAATTCAATTATTCTTTTAAATTTTAATTAAATTCTTCCCAAGAATTCAATTATTTACACAAATAATTGTTCGAAACAATTCAATTATTCAATAATTAACAAAATTATTCCAGAAAATTCAATTGTTTTCAGACATTTTAATAAAACTCTTTGCATAATTCAATTATTTTCATAAATAACAATATTCACCACAAGAATTCAATTATTTTTAAAAGTAATAAATTTCTTCTTGAAAATTCAATTGTTTTCAAAAATTTTAATAAAATCGTTCGGAAGAATTCAATTATTTACAAAAAAATTTAATAAAATTTTCCACAGACATTCAATTCTTGTCAAAAATTTTAATTGAATTTTTTGTAAAATTTAATTATCTTTTAAAACTTTTTGCAATTTAATGGTTTCCAATATCTACTATTTTCATAAAATTTCCAAACAGAATTCAATTATTTAAAAAAAATGTTGTACAAATCTTTTTAACAATTCAATTCTTTTCATGAATAAGAAAAATTTCTCAAGAATTCAATTATTAGCAGTATAAGAAGTAAATAAATATTTTTGATGAAAATTAGGAAAAATTCAGGAAAATAAAATATAGAATGGAATTTTTGTCAGTTTTGTGAAGTGTCTAAAACGAGTTTTTTTGGTCGTCAAGTTTAATTTTTCGATAGCTAATTTTTTTACTACTCTTTTTAGTTTGAAAGCTACTTTTTTAAAATTAATTATCGAGTGCGAAGTCTTAATTTTTCGATAGCTAATTTTTTTACTACTCTTTTTAGTTTGAAAGCTACTTTTTTAAAATTAATTATCGAGTGCGAAGTCTGAAACTATTATTTACCATAAGTAATTTTTTTTTCTTTTCTTCCAAAAATCAAAAAAAGAATTTCTTTAATAATTCTGAAAGGATAAAATAAAACTCTTGCTTTTCTTCGACAGGAAAGAGAAGACGGAGAGAAATGGAAAAAGTACGAAGAATGGAAATTTGGAGCATGATGATAAACATAGACGATTGGAGAAGAATGTGGAATCGGCGCAGGAGCATTTTTACGAGGTGATTGCGACAAATTCGGAAGTGAAAACAGAACTTAGGGTGGAGACGAGAAAGAGGGATAGACACAGTAGAAGGCCTCATTCGGCGCCAACGATTGATGGTGACGAGAGAAAAAAGTGTAATCATCGAAATCGGAAACCAGCTCCGCCACCACCTGGCTATCAGGATACGACGACAGCACCACCACCCCTGTCCAAACGCCCCACGTCAGTATTAACCACCAGCGTTTTGGAAGTTGAAAATAATAACAAAATCATTCTCAAAGTTGAGCCCATCAAATCGCCAGTGGAACCACCAGTCGCGACCAATAATGGTACCACACCGTCTGACTCTTCAACCGCTGGTGAGAAATTTTTCCCGCGAGATAAATATTATATTATATCTATTTTTATTTCTATATTTATTTACCAATATTTATTTCTATTTTTAAACTATTTATTTTATAAACTTTATTTTCAAACTATTCTGGATTTTCTAGTTTGCGTACATTTTTTAAGATTTCTTGTATAATAATGTAAATTAATTTTTTGAAGTACTTTAATATTATTTTCTTGGACTGAAATTATTAGTTTATCCAAATAGTTTTAGGCAAACATTGGGTTGCGAAAGATCAGGGAAATAATAGGGAATTACAACAAAAGTACTTGAAATTTATCAAACGTTTAGAATTACTTCAAAAATTCAGGTTCTTAGTGTCCAAAAATATTTTTGAAAAACTCAAAAGGTTTGATTACCCCTTAAATTTTTTTCACCTTAAAAACTTTTCTTAATCACAATAAGTTTCAAAATAACAGCTTGATTTTTTATTTTTGTAAAAAATTAAATTCTGAAATTTTTTTAATGATATTAATTATAATAATTAATTTAAAAAAGATTTGAGTTAAAATTGATTTCAATTTTTAGAAATAATTGCAGAAAAAATTTTGGAAATAATTTCCAAAGGTTTTCAATAAACATATTGAGAAAAATTTCAATTTTTGGAAAGAAATTAATTCGAAAAATAATTAAAAAAGAGAATTATTTAAAAATAATTTATAAATACTTTTATTTGAAATCCTGAGAAAAAATTAAAGGATACTGGAAAATTTAAATTCAATATTTTAGTTACTTGAATTTTTGAAAAAAATTTGTTTTAAAGAATTACCAAATTAATGTCTGTTTTGTAAAATTAAATTGCAAATAATTAAATTTGTTAAGAAATTTCGTTAGAGATTTAGAAAAGTCAAATATTCAAAGATTTTAATTTAATAATTGGTCAATAATTGAATTTAAACAAAGAGTCAGGTCCAAACTGCATCTAAAATAATTTAACTTTGAAAAAGTTACAAATAAAATTTTTATTAATTAATTTTAAGAAAATTTAAATTAAAAATTCTGTTTAAAAATTTGAGTTTCAATACATTTTTTTTAAATATACAAAATGAATTTTTTAGAACATTTCAGTTTCATTTTTTGTAACATAATTGAATTTTTATGATAACAAGTAATTGAAATTCTTTGAAATAATTAAATTTACCTAAAAAGTAAAAATCCATAAAAAATACCTAATTTAATTTTTAAAAAAATTTTAATGAAGTTCTTGAAAATAATTGTGGAAGTTCGTCACATTAATTTTTTTAACATTTCAATTATTTTTGTCAAAAATAATTTTAATTCTTTGAAATAATTGAATTTTTAAAAGAATTTTTTTAAAAATTTTTGATAATAATAATTGTCTAAGTTAGCCACATTCATATTTTTAAATATTTGAATTCTATTTTTTGAAGATAATTGAATTTTTATACACAAGTAATTAAAATGCTTTGAAATAATTGAAATTTTGTAAAATTTTTAAAAAAAAATTGAATTTTTTATTGAATTTAATAGAATTTTTTTGAAAATAATTGTGAACGTTAGTCATATTAATTTTTAAAGATATTTCAGTTTAATTTTTTGTAAGATAATAGAATTTTTATAAATAAGTAATTAAAATGCTTTGAAATAATTGAAATTTTGTAAAATTTAAAAAAAAAATTTAATTTTTTATTGAATTTAATAGAATTTTTTTGAAAATAATTGTGAACGTTAGTCATATTAATTTTTAAAGATATTTCAGTTTAATTTTTTGTAAGATAATAGAATTTTTATAAATAAGTAATTGAAATTTTATAAAATAACTGAATGTACCTAAAATAGTATAAAAAATAATTGAATTTTTTGTAAATGTAATTGAAAATTATTAAAATTCTATAAAAAATAATTGAATTTTTAAAAAAAATTCTTTTAGATTTTTGAAAATAATCAAGAGAAGGTCGTCACTTTAATTTTTTAAAATATTTAAATTCTATTTTTTAAAGATATTTGAATTTTTATACACAAGTAATTAAAATTCTTTGAAATAATTGAAATTTTGTAAAATTTTCTAAAAAAAAATTGAATTTTTTATTGGATTTAATAGAATTTTTTGAAAATAATCGTGGACGTTAGTCACATTAATTTTTAAAAATATTTCAGTACTATTTTTCAAAGATAATTGAATTTTTATAAATAAGTCATTGAAATTTCTTTAAAATTCTTTAAAAATATAATTGAATTTTTTATTTGTAATATTATTGAAAGTCTTAAAAATAATCGTGGAAAGTCCGTCACAATAATTAATTTTATTTTTCAAATAGATCTAGACATTCTTGATATTTTAAAATTGAATTTTTGCATTTAAATTTTTTTTTATATTTTACATGGTTTTTTAGATTTAATTTTTATAATTGAACCTTCCCTGAATTCTTTTTGTAGAAATCAGGAAATGAGTTGAAATTCTATCTGGAAATTAGGGAAAAATAAAATCGAATTTTTTTGGTAGTCTTAAAATAATTCTTTTATAATTGTTATTGTTTAAAATAAATCAGGGATAAACAAAATCGAATTTTTGTCGTAATCTTGAAATAATTTGTTTATAATTTATTGTTATTGTTAATATAATTCAGGGAAATACAAAATCGAATTTTTTTCGTAATCTTGAAATAATTTTTTTATAATCATTATTGTTTAAATTAAATCAGGGAAAAACAAAATCGAATTTTTGTCGTAATCTTGAAATAATTTATTGTTATTGTTAAAATAATTCAGGGAAAAACAGAAACCAAAGTAATAACTAAACTAAAAGCAATTTTTTTTCAAGAATTCTGAAAACTGTGAATTTTTTTTCAGGTGCACCATTGCCAAATCTAAGAAGACTGAGGTGCGCCAGCGTGCCAGTTGCACAGAATAAAATGATAGTACCAAGAAGTGCAGTATCATTACCCTGCATGCCAATACGCGACAGTAAGGACAGTTTACTGACAAATAATTTTCCAATTATTGAAAATCCCCCAAGTCCACCGTCATCGCGACCAAGTAGTCCAACGCCGAGTTCAAGTTCAAGTAATTTAACTTCCGAATGCTCCGGCTGGGTGAGCAGTGGCGATACATCGAGTTCAGAGCATCGACGCGGTAAAATATCGAGTGAACAACTCCGGCAGAAACTCTCGAAAATTATTGCCCGCAAGGATAAATCGCCAAAGGATACAATTGTTGAGAATTCATATGAGGAGGTGAGATTACCGCCGCCAAAAATGTTTCAAGACGAGCCACCGCCACCCGAGGAATTTCGCGATCCACCACAACCAATTGACAATCCACTTTATCATGTTTACGAGTCGGTGAAAAAGGCCCGAAGTCCAAAACAAAATAAAACTGCTCCATGCAGTCCGCAAAGGAATAAGGACGGTTTCTATAGTACGAGAGATATTTGTCTTGATTGCTATCAGGAGGGAAAGGAATTGCTTCAGTCGACTCAGGACGATTTTATTAATTTCAAAAAATGCAAGGAGGAATTCAAAAGGCAGATGAGCTTCTCGGGAAAAATTTATAGGTGAGAGGATGAGTTTCTTTTTTTCCCCTAAAAGCTTTTGCTGCTGTTTCACATTTCACGTGCGCGCCTCCTCGACTTACACTTACACTCTTTGCCATTTTTTCACATTTTGAATTGATGAACTGCAAGAGGAAATTAAGTTTATTAATTTAATTGATTTAAATTACTTTCGGCTGTTAATTTTTAATTTAATTAATGTTTCGCCTTTTTTCACTTTTTGAATTGATGAACTGCAAGAGGAAATTAAGTTTATTAATTTAATTGATTTAAATTACTTTCGGCTGTTAATTTTTAATTTAATTAATTTTTCGCCTTTTTTCACTTTTTGAATTGATAAACTGCAAGAGAAAATTAGGTTTATTGACTAATTTAATACATTTTCAGGGAAAAGTCAGGGATTTTTATTAAAAGTACTGAAAAATAAAGTTTTTAGAATTTATAAGAAAATTCTGAATTTTTGTGTCTTTTTTGTTTGACTCATAAATTAGGAAATAGCCAAGAATTCTAACACAAAACCTTCAATTTTTTCTATTTCTGACAATAATTTCTTTTTAAATAACTTAATTCTTGAAGAACTTATCATAAAATTATTATTTAGAAATTATTTAATAAATATTTTTACTTAAAAATTTCAAAAGAGTTGCATTTACTATCTTCATAAATGGAAGAACTTCAAAGGTTTCAATTTAAAATTTTGGAAAATAACAATTTTTAATGAATTTAAATAGAAATTTTAAGAACAACTGATTACAGAAATTTAATTATTTTCAAAAGTTCAAAAAAATTCTTCTCCAAAATTCAATTATTTTCAAAAAATATGCGAAATTTAATTATTTTCAATATCTAGTATTTCCATAAAATTTTGCAAAAGAATTGAATTATTAAAAAAAAATTCTTTAATTCATCCAAAATTTAATTATTTTTAATAGATAATAAAATTTCCACATCCGGAATTCAATTATAATTTAGAATAGGATTTTTAAAAAAATTTCGAAAAAATCAATTATTTAACCAAATTTTTATACAATTCTTCACACAAATTCAATTACTTTCACTAATAATAACATTTTTCATGGAAATTCAATTTTTTAAAATAAATTTAATAAAATTCTAAGGAAGAATTCAATTATTTTCATAAATAATAAAACTTATCAAAGAATTGCAATCCAAAATTCAATTATTTTCAAAAAATTTTTAAAAATTCTTGGTACAATTTCAATCATTTTAAAAAATTCTCCTTATTTCAATTATATTTAATATCCTTTTTTAATAAAATTTTCTAAAAGAATTCAAATATTTAAATAAAATTTCAATAAAATTCTTTTAAAAATTCTATTATTTAAAAACAATGTTAACAAAATTCTTTACAAGATTTAGTTAATTAAATTGCAATTTTAATAAAATTTTCCTATACAATTCAATTATTTTCAATGCAATTCTTCTTAAGAATTTAATTATTTTTAAAAATCTTGTACATTTTTTTATTGAAATTCAATTATTTAAAAAAATTTGAATAAAATTCTTCGCAAAAAATGGATTATTTTCATAAATAATAAAATTCTTCGTCAGATTTCAATTATTTTCAATTTTTTACTGAAGTTTCTCGATGGAATTTAATTATTTTCAAAAAGTTTTTAAAAAATTCTGAGAAATTCAATTATTTAAAGAAATTTGAATAAAATTCTTTATATAAAATTAATTATTTTCATAGATAATAATATTTTTCTCCGGAATTCAATTATTTGAAAAAAATTTGAATAAAATTCTTCGCAAGAAATCAATTCTTTTCAAAGATAAAGTTTTTCACAGAAATTTTATTTAAAAAAAAAATTGAACAAAATTATTGGTCAGTTTCAATTATTTTCAATTTTTTAATGAAATTTCTCGCAGTAATTCAATTATTTTTATACAATTTTAAATAAAATAATAGAAAATTTAATTTTTTTCAATTTCATTTTCAATTATTTTCAATTATTTTTGAAAATTTTGATAAAATTCTTCATAAAAATTTAATTTTAAGAAATATTCAATTATTCAATAAATTATTTATTTTTGTATTTAAATAATTAAATTCTCGAAAAATTTTTTAATAAAAATTGATTAAAAAATAAATTTTACTTAAAATTCTAAATTATAATTGAATATTAAAAGCATTATAGCGTGAATTTTTAGAAATAGTTAAATTTTGAAAAGGGTTTTAATTATAATCTTTGAAAATTTGAATTTTTGATTACAATATTCTTATAATATAAAAAAATTTCTTCATGTTTTATAATAATACTCGCATAAGTTATTGAATTTCAAAAGGTTTGAATTTGAAAATCCTAATTCCTATAGAAAAATAATAAAGACTAAATATTTATTTAAAAAAGAATTTATTGATGTTTTCGAATAATTTTACTTTTAGAGAAATTTGCAAATAAAAGTATTGGAACATTTTTTTGAATATCTAATAATTTTTGTAGTGAATCAGAATATTCTTCAGGGTCAGGAAAAAATTAAAAATTTTGCCTGGAAATCAGGGAAAAGTCAGGGAAAAACAAAATTAAATATTTGTGGCAACCCTGTTTTTGTTAATTTAATTAATTTTTCGCCTTTTTTCACTTTTTAAATTCATGATCTGCAAGAGGAAATAATGTTTATTAATTTAATTAATTAAAAATAAATTCAGTAATTTCTGTGATTAGAGTCAAATTCAGTAATTTAATTGATTAGAACTAAATTCAGCAATTTGATTAAATAGAATTAAATGCAAGAGGAAATAATGTTTATTAATTTAATTAATTAAAAATAAATTCAGTAATTTCTGTGATTAGAGTCAAATTCAGTAATTTAATTGATTAGAACTAAATTCAGCAATTTGATTAAATAGAATTAAATTCAGCAATTCAACTAATTTTAATATAGATTTAGAAGATTGTTAATTCTCTGAGTTTATGGTGTGCAAATTTCTTTTCCTTCTTTATTTTTCACTCACCTGGTGTGATGGATTTTTTTTTTAATTTTGTACAAAGTTTGTTTTTGTAAAAACGTTTTTTCCGTTTTTGTTTTCGTTTGTAATTTCTGATTCTGTTTTTATAATTAAGTTTTATCAGTTCACCATCCTTTAGAGAACATATCGCTCCGCTGTTTCGTTTCCGTAAGCGCGCGCATCGTCATCATCATCATCATCTAAGACCAATTGTGCCTCTTAGCGATTATCCAACACTGGCCTCGACGATGCCGTATTTCCACATCCCCGATGAATATCGATTGCTATCGCCCGAGGGACCACATCTCATTATTTGCGTTCATGGCCTCGATGGGAATGCAGCCGATCTTCGTCTAGTCAAGACATATCTGGAATTGGGACTTCCTGGGGCGCATCTCGATTTTCTCATGTCCGAAAGAAACGAGGTACATCGAACGAAATTAATTTCGATAAAGGAAAAAAATGTTAATTTTAAATTTAAATTTAAAAAAAATGACAATTTTCTTCTAATTATTTCAATTTTATTATTAATAAGGTGTTTTTTTTATTTTACAGGCCTCGAATAGTATTTTTTTGACCTTATTCGACTTCTTTTAAAAATTTGCGACTTTTTGGATTTTTCTTCTCCAAATATTTCAACAAAATTATTTTTTTGGCGTAAAATACAAATTACTTGGATTTTTAAAGTGTGAAAAGAAAACTATAGTCAAATAAGATTTAAAAAATTTATTTTTCTATAATTTTTCTAAGATAAATTAAATTTTTGAAAAACATGATTAAAAAGTTTTTAAATAACTAAATTTTTGTTTCAACTTTATTAAAAATAATTATTTTTTCAAGTATTTCATTAAAATTTTTGAAAATCCTTAAATTTTGTAAAATTTTTATAGCAAATTTTGTAAATAATTGAATTCTGAAAAATTTTAATGAAAAATCAAAAAAATTAATTTCAGAAAAAGTGTATTATTTGCAATATTTTCGAATTTTCGAAAATATGGAATTGAAATGTTCCATATTTTCGAGAAAATAATTATTTTCAAAACTTTTAATTAAAATTCTTCAAAAAAGAATTGATTAGCTTTTTAATTATCCAAAAATTCTTCTGAAAAATTCAATTATTTTCGAAATTTTTTATCAAAATTCTTCAAAAAATTGATTATTTAGAAAATTTTTCAAAAATTCTTTTTGCGAAATTCAATTATTTTTGAAAAATTGCAGTATAATATTTTTAAAAGTCCAATTCTTTGGATTTTTTTTTACCAAAATCTATTAAAATTCAATTATCTACAAAAAAGTAAATTTAAACTTTTAAAAAATTGTTTTGTTAAAATTATTACTGAAATTGATAAACAATGGTGTATTTTTATATTTTTAATTAAAATTCTTCAAAAAATTATTAAAATTAAAAACAAATATTAAAAAATAGTGTTTTAATATTTTACAAAAAGTTAATTATTGTCATAAATATTTTTACTAAATTTGAATTATTCGCAAAGTTTCCAATGATATACAATTAAAAAAAATTCTAATAGTACAAATTAATGTAAATTTTGTTTTATAAGTTAAAAATGAATAAAAATATAGAAAAACAATTTAAATATCAATATAATTAAAAAATTATTTTTAAGAATCTTTTTATTACACTTTATTTTAAATTTAATTATTTTAAATATTTTCGTTTATATATTTTCAATAATTATTCGCCTTTATAAATTTAAAAAGAAATCTGAAAGAGTTGTAGTTACAAATATCAAAAATTGAACTTTTGTATTTAAATAATTGAATTCTCAAGAAACTTTCGGAAAATTATTTAAAATAATTGATTTAGAGAAGAAGTTTAGTTAAAAATTCTTGAAAATAATTGGATTTTTGAAGAATTGAGTCGTAATTTTTTGAAATAATTAAATTTTAGAATGTTTGAAATTGAAAGTTTTGAATAATTTACTTTAAAAATCAGTATCAATAATAAAGTAAATAAAAGTGTAAATAAAAGAGAAATGTTTTGAAATTGAAATTTTAGAATAATTAAATTTAGAAATCAGTGAAAAGTCAGAAAAATAATAAAGAACTGTTTTGAAATTGAAATTTTAGAATAACTAAATTTAGAAATCAGTGAAAAGTCAGGGAAATAAAAAAGAAATGTTTTAAAATTGAATTTAGAAATTAGTGAAAAATCAGGGAAATAAAAAAGAAATTTTTTATTGAATGTTAAATCAACTAAAACGATTTTTTTTGTATTTTAAAGTCTTTACGAGGCCTGTTTTTATTTTTTATTGAAAATTTGTGTGATAAATTATTTATTCTGTGTTAATTTTAGGGGGATACTTTCTCGGACTTTGATACAATGACCGATCGTCTTGTGGGTGAGATTCTTCACCATATTGAGATTTCCGGCTTAAATCCAACGAAAGTAAGCTTCATTGGACATTCTTTAGGGACCATCATTATTCGAAGCGCTCTCACCCGTCCTCAGTTGAGACCACTTCTTTCTCGTTTGCATACTTTTCTCAGTCTCAGTGGACCTCACTTAGGAACCCTCTACAATACGAGCGGGCTCGTAAATGCAGGTTTGTTATAAATTTTCCATAAGGAAAAATATTCGTTTCAATAAAATACAGAATTAAATTACGTGTATTGAAAATATTTCAAATTTAAATATCAATAATTCTTTTTCCCAATTTTATTGTTTTTTCAAATTTTCAATTTTTTTAGATAAAATTCCTGTTGAATTTAAATTAATTTTGATATTTGAATAAAATGTTGACGAAAATGTTAGTAATACAAATACAGATTTAATAAAAATAATTAAAATGTAAGAAAAATTCATTAATAATAATTTCTTTCTCTTTTTAGGAATGTGGTTCATGCAGAAGTGGAAAAAATCCGGTTCCTTACTTCAATTAGCAATGAAAGATGCCTCGGATGTTAGGCGTTCGTTTATGTTTCGTTTGAGTCAAAAGAGTAACTTGCAAAAATTCAAGCATGTACTGCTTTGTGGAAGTGCTCAGGATCGTTATGTGCCACTTCATTCTGCACGTATAGAACTTTGCAAGGCCGCTGTTCGAGATCCCACTGATCAGGGTTCGTTTTTTTTCTCTCTCTTTGTTTTTTTTTTATTTCCAAGAAAGAGAATATCACCATATGGATTTTTTTTTGCCTTATTTTCATTGAGAATGAAAATCATCCATGTGAATTGAAGAGTTCTTCGTTTTTTTTCTCTAAAATAAAAAGAACAATGCGAATGCTAAAATCGATTCAATACTCCTGACCTTTGATATTTTTCTGCATGAAACTAGGTTGAACCGAACTTTTCAGAAGCAATATTCATTCATATTATTGCACTGATAAAAATTTTCGGTCATGAATAAAATTGGAAATTATTTTCTAAATTTGCAATTTTAGTTAAAAAATTATTTCTGGTTTTCTGTTTCCTTTTTTTTTATTTCTTTATCTATTTATATGTTTTCTAATATAATATTTATAATATTTTGTAGTTTAGTTTTTTATTTCTGTATTTTTTTCATTTCTGCCTTTTTTTCATTTCTGTATTTTTTTATTTCGTTATTTCTCTATTTTTATTTTTTCATTTCCTCACTTTTAGTTTTTCATTCCAGCACTTTTATTTTTTCATTTTCGTTTTTTCAGTTTTCCACAGGTCAGGAAAAAAATTAAATTTTTAGAATTTAAAAGAAAATTCTGAATTCTGATGTCTTTTTTGTTTGCCTCATAAACTATGAAATTGCCAAGAATTTTAATACAAACCCTTCAATTTTTTCTATTTTTGACAATAATTTCTTTTTAAATAACTTAATTCTTAAAGAAATATCATAAAATTATTAATTAGAAATTATATAATGAATATTTTTACTTAAAAATTTCAAAAGAATTGCAATTTACAATCTTCATGAATAGATGAACTTCAAAGGTTTCAATTTAAAAATTTTAGAAAATATCAATTTTTAATGAATTAAAATAGAAATTTTAAGAAAAAATTAATTGGATTTCAAAAGAATTGCGTTTAAAATTTTTATAAGTAGATGAAAATGAATTTAAATTTCTATTTAAATGTATTAAAAATTGATATTTTTTAAACTTTCAAATTGAAATCTTTCATAAGTTACAATTCTAAATATTAGAAAATTTTTAATGAATTTAAATAGAAATTTTAAAAACAACTGATTACAGAAATTCAATTATTTTCAAAAGTGATAAACTTTTTCGCATAAATTCAATTATGATCAAAATATTTTTAAAATTCTTGTCAAAATTTCAATTATCCTTCTAAATAATAAAATTCTTATCTAAAATTCAATTATTTTCAAAAAATTTAATGAAATTTTCCAAATGAATTCAATTATTTAAACAAAATTTTAATAAAAGTTTCACAGGAATTCAATTACTTATCAACTTTTTTTTCTAAATTTCTTCGCACCAATTCAATTATTTTTAATTTTTAAATGAAGTTTTTCGAAAGAATTCAAATAAATTCAGAGAATTGAAAAAAATTGTTCTGAGTAATTCAATTATTTTGAAAAATTTTAATAAAATTCTTCTAAAAATTCTATTATTTAAAAAAATTTTGACAAAATTCTTTACAAGATTTAGTTAATAAAATTGTAATTTTAATAAAATTTTCCTATACAATTCAATTATTTTCACAAATAATACAATTTTTTATGGAAATTCAATTATTTAGAAAAATTTGAATAAAATTATTCGGAAGAAATCAAATATTTTCATAAATAATAAAACTTTTCTCGAGAATTCAATTATTTAAAAAAAATTTTATAAAATACTTCATAAATTAAAAAAATTAGAATAAAATTGATCATAGAATACAATTATTTTCGTAAAATATAACATTATTTCTAGGAATACAATTATTGTCAAAAATATTTATAAAATTCTTCGAATGAAATTTCTCGATGGAATATAATTATTTTCAAAAGGTTTTAAAAAATTTTAAGAAATTCAATTATTTCAACAAATTTGAATAAAATTCTTTCCAAGAATTAAATTCTTGTCAAAAATAAATATTTTCACAGAAATTCAATTATTTAAAAAAATTTGAATAAAATTCTTCACAAGAAATTAGTTATTCTCATAAATAACAATATTTGTCTCCGGAATTAAATTATTTTTATAAATAAAATTGTTCACAGGAATTCAATTCTTTAAAAAATTTTTTAATAAAATTCGTTGCAAGAATTCAATTATTTTCAAAAATAACAAAACTTATCGCATAATTTAAATTATTTTTTATACAATTTTAAATAAAATGATAGAAAATTGCATTTATTTAAAAAACAATTTTTAATTCGCCGAAAAAATTCAATTATTTTTAAAAATTTTGATTAAAATTCAATTTTAAGAAATATTCAATTATTTAATAAATGATTCATTGCTGTATTTAAATAATTGAATTCTCGTGAAATTTTTTAATAAAAATTGATTAAAAAATGAATTTTACTTAAAATTTTAAATTATAATTGAATATTAAAACCATTACATCGGGAATTTTTAAAAATAATTGAATTTTGAATCACTCGGAGTGATCAATTTCTTCAAGTTTTATATATTAATATTCTCATAAGTTATTGAATTTCAAAAGGTTTGAATTTGAAAATCTTGATTCCTATGGAAAAACAATAATGATTAAATATTTATTTAAAAAAGAATTTATTGATGTTTTCGAATAATTTTCCTTTTAGAGAAATTTGCAAATAAAAGTATTACAACATTTTTTTGAGTATTTAATAATTTTTGGAGTGAATAAGAATATTCTTCAGGGTCATGAAAAATGATAAAATTTTGTTTGAAAATCAGGGAAAAAGAAAATTAAATTTTTGTAGCAACCCTGCATTTCTGTAAATTTAATTAAAAATTCCTCTTTTGGTGAGAAAATGACATTTTTTTCTTTTTTCAGGAGCTGCCTATAGGGAAATGGTGCACAATATTCTTTATCCAATAATGTCAGCACAAGGAGTAAGTTTGGTGAGATATGACGTTCATCATGCTCTACCTCCAACGGCAAACGCCCTAATTGGCAGAGCTGCGCACATCGCCGTCCTCGATTCAGAGCTCTTTATCGAGAAGTTCTTCCTCGTGGCGGGTCTCAAATATTTTAGATAAAAGAACGAAAAAAATTTTTAGCATTGATGCTGGAAGGAGAAAAGAATTTCTATATAGAAGAAAATAAATGAACAAAAAATAAAGAGAAATTAACTAAGGACATGAAAATTCCGTCGTCGACGCATGCCTTGGGAATATCGCGATAGTAAAAATAGGTTTGTATTTTTTTCATTTTATTTATTTTCTTTTGCCAAGGCTCGTCCCACTGAGTAGGCTAGGATAAATATTAGATTATGCCGTGTTCATTAAAAAAGCTTCTCTTTTTGTCGTACAAAAAAAAATAATTGTAATTTTTACAAGTTTTACAAAAAAAAGGCACACACAACAAAAATTCATTTCAGTCCTTTATTTCTGTCGTGAAAAATTCTTCTTTTTTTTTATAAATTATCACTAATTTTTGTTTTGATTTAGCTAAATCGAAACTAATTAAAATTTCGATTTTAAATTTAATTTCTTTGGTTATTTATTTTTAAAAATGGTGTCACGAACTTTGACTCTTCATCGAAAAATCGCAATCGAACTTTTAAGGACTGTTACTAAAAGGAGGCCTACCTCGTTTTAGCATTTCTAGAAGCGTTTCCAATGTTCGAAAAAGAAAAAAAAAATTCGGCAAAAGCGCACTAGAATTTTGTATAACGTGATTTATCTCTTACAATTTTTAAATTAGTGCTAAGTTTTTTATAGAAAGTGAATGAGATTTCATTGAAATTTGCATGAATCCCACATAAAAACTGATATACCTGTATTCCTTTCATTCTGTAACGAAAGAAAAAACTTTCTTTCTTTCGAAAAAACAAATGAATCGAAAAAAGTAAAATTATCACTTAATTTTTTTTGAATGTTTTTTTTTAAAATTTTTTTCCCTAGAATTTTAATTTACATAGAAACGTTACTCATTTTCATTCTACATCTTCTCCGCAAAATCAAATTCATTCACAAAAATTAAATCGCGACCAAAAAATTATGTGGCCTAATTAATTTTTCAATTTTTATTCTCCGTAATGAAGAGAACACATTTCAATTTGAATTTTTAAATTTTTTTTGGCAAACTATTAGAGAGTTAACTTGGAACATGTATCAAAAAAAAAAGAAAATATATATGAGACGGATCAAAAAAATTTTCTAGAAAAAAAAATAGCACGAATTCGATCCATAGAGTTAAAAATGACTGAATTTTAAATTGATTTTTAGGAATAATGAAACAATCATTAAAAAAAAGTTTAGTGTTTTTAAATATAGAATATATTTCCCAAAAAAAAAAAAAAAAAATACATTCTCGCGATTCATTATTAAGAGTCGAAGAAAAACTCCTTTATCGACAAAGGAAATGTAAAATAATTTAGTGTTTAAATTTTAAATTTTTACCATTTTTATGATATCGAGAAATGAGAAAAATGAGTAAAGAATTTTTTCTTCTAACTCTTGTAAAAAAAGGAGAAGTTGTAAATTAACCGAATCCAAATTTACCAAGAAAAATAAACAAATTTTCTATAAAACTCTGTAATTGTTTAAAAATTACGGAATTTTTGAACAATTTGTTTTTTAAACAAAGAGTAAATTGTCAAAATCGAGAAAAAAGAAATGGATTCGGTTATAAATCATTAAATGTAAAAAATAGTAGGTTCGACTATAAACAGATTTTAAATTCAAAAAAAAAAAAATTAAATTTAAATTCTAGAAGTAAATTTAAATATGCTATTAAAATTACTAAAGAAATAGAAAATTTGAATAAAAATTAAAAAGAATATTTAAAATTAAATATTTTCTTTTTATAGGAATACTTGTGATTTTAAATTTAAAGTCGAGCCTTCAAAATAACCATTTTCTTTGTTTAGTATGAAAGAGTTAGGATAGTTATAAAACGTATGTCAATTGTTCTCCCTCAGATAAAACTATGCATGCGTGTGATGTGTGCGACGAAAAATTATTACCAATGAAATGCGAATGGAAAGAAAAAAATTTCTAAAGGGAAGAAATTTTGTTCTCTATTATCACAGGGATGAAATATTTCCCGAAAAAAAGAATATTCATTTCATTCATTTGATTATGAATATATATATAGAAGTGAATATAAGATTATTCGAATATAAGAAATTATGAATTTAGAAATTTGAAATTTAAAATTTGAAATTAAAATTTCAAATAAAATGAAAAATAATAATTTTATACTCTTTTTGACACAAATTGAGAGTTTTTTTCAATTAAATAAAATTATTGTAATTTTTCTTGTAAATATTTCTTCGTTCTTCAAAAAATGGTGGATTTTCTTTTTTAAAAAAATGTCAGCTGCAAAATAAATGCAGTATAGTGTGTGAAACGAAACGAACAATCGTATAAAAAAACAAGAAATAACTCCCTCCAATAGTTTTTAGTAATTGAAAATTAATAAATTAAATTTATTAATTATTAATTTAATTTAGTTAATACTCATCGTTGAATTTTAATTATTAATTATTTTATTGTAAATTTTTTGTAAATTTACAATTGTATTCGAATTTTATTCAGAATGTCTTCCAGAAGGAATTTAGAGAAAAAAATAATGAAAACAAAATCGATGAGAATTTTTGAAAAGAAGTATATATCTGCGCACACATGCAAGTATGTATTTTATTAAGAAAAAAAGCACATTTTCCATCTCGTATATCCGTGTGCTTAAATAAAGACTTTAATATTTATGAATATTATTGAAAATCTCGTCGTTTTTCCTACAACATTTTTTGAAATGATCAAAACATTTTCTAAGCATCGATTTAAAAATGTTTATAAATTATATCATGATATATAAAAAAATAACAATTTATAATTGTAATTCTATTCAATATCAATTTAAAATTTATATATAAATGAGTTTTTGAGTTTTTTGAAAAGAACTGATAACTACATTTTCTACATTCAATGAAAGAAAAGTACTTTTTCAAACAAAAAGATTTTCGATTAAAAAACCAAAAAAAAAAAAATTGTCTTGAACGAGAATGTTTCTAGACAATTTTTTTTTTTTCAAAAGTCGCAACAAGGAATTAATATCGTGCACAAAGAATTTAAAAAAATTTAATATTAACACACTACGTCGTAATAAAAAAAACGAACAAATTAGATTCACTTTCTAGAGTATATTTCGGTTTGCTTTTCATTTTATTTTTCCGAAAATATAAATTTAAAAGAAAATAATAATACTCGAGGTATTTTTATTGCTGTCCTATTGTTTGCTCAATTACATCGTTATTATTATAATTATAAAGCATTAAAAAAAAGTCTAATTGTGAATTGACTTTGTACACTCGTCACTTTAAATAATTTTTAATGGTATCAATTTACCTAAAGGCACAATTTTTCTAGAAAAAAAATTTATCACAGAGTCACAACTGTACAGGATTTCAGAAAGTTGATCGACAACTTAGATTTTATATATCAATTTTTTGAAACAAAGAAAAAATTGCAAAAAATGATTGAACTTTTTTTAATATTTAACAATTTGAAATACAAAGGGATAATTTAGAATAAACAGAGAGAATTATTATACAGTTTTGTGGCCCTGAGATTCGATGTCATTACTTATTACTTTGGAATAGAAAGTAAGAAATTCGCAAAAGAAAAAAAAACGTCTTGCATGTATACAAAAAAAGGGGAGAATGAGAAAAGCTGTTTTTAAAAAATTGCCAACACCAAAGACAAAAAAAAAGTAACAGTGTATACAATATACATACGATAATGAGTAATATAAAGAATCTATATCTGCATATGTGAAATAGATGAATAAAAATTGTAATTATTATTATTACTAGCTAAAAGATTTTTATTTCTGTAAAAATTGTTTTCACTTTTTCCTTCAAAGAAAAAAGCAAAAAAAAAAAAAAAAATAATAATAAAAAATTTATCAATTATTTTCTCTTTGAAATATTCATACCAACCCACACAATAAATAACAAAATTGCACCATCGTTTTATACAAATGCCATCGAAAAAAATAAGAAAGATTTTATTTAGAAAAAATAAAATCAAATCATTTTAAGTGATAAAAATTCTTTACAATTTTTAATTATTATTATTTACATTTTATCCGTAAATTTCATTTCTATACAAAAAAAAAGAAGTACAAAAAGAAGTCACTACAAACAAAATTTGTTACATAAATTTAAAAAAATAAAAAAAGGGAAATAAAAAATCCGTGGAAAAAAATTTGTCTGAAAAAAGTATAAAATAAAATTCTAAAATTTGCCAAAGGTTTCTTTTTTTGCGATTAAAAATTATAATGAGTAAAAAAAAATTTGCAACTTTCGGAAAGAATTGGAAAAAAGAAATATAAAAAAATTGAAAATTTGATGTAAAAATTTGAAAAAACTTGAAAAAAATTTTTTTCTTTTTCCCCTTTTTGGAGAGAATTAAAATTTAATTATTGTTCTCTTGGTAGATTTTCACTGTTCATGTCTCCATTGGGAAGAGGATGATTTATACCTTCCGCCATTCCGTCAATTGGACCCAATTGACGATGTTGTTCTCCAATATTTCGTGTACTCAATGCCATTGATGATCCCTCGCCACTTTGATTCGGCCTGTCTTGATTCTTCGATTTTTTTCCTATTTACATTAATTTATAATTTAGATTCCGATTTTTTCTTGATTTTTTAATCGTAAAAAGCAAAAATCAAATTTTTAAAACAAATAACTAATAAAAATTCGTACCTTGATTATGGTTAAGTGCTTTACTCAAATATGAATATTCGCGAGCATTTTTCAAACCGGCAACAACACAAGCACCCAATGCACTTCTATTCAAATTCATAGCTGATGCTTCGTACCATTCATTAACATCAACATCATAACATTCGACAAAAGCAATTGTCGTTGAACCTAAAATTAGAAAAAAAAAGAAAGAAATATCTTTGTTAGAAATTTTTTTTTTCTATACAAACGGAAAAAAATAGAAAAACATGTTTAAAAAATTCTTTACAATTCTCTTTGATCTATATGCTCTGGATTTTCAATTAAAATCTATAATAAAATTAATTTTTGGAAATTTACAAAATACTTTGTACCATTAAATCCGCCAATAACGTAAATCATTTCGTCCAAAATAACAATCGCAAAATTACTTCGTGGACAGAACATTTCGGAAATTTCCTGCCATCCTTGATTATTGTACGGAGTAAAACGTTCGCCTAAAAAATTTTTCCAGTTAAATAGAAGCAAAAAAAAAAATTATAGAAAAGAAATTTGAAAATAAATAAAATTTATTTATTTTCAAATTTCTTTTCTATAATTTTTTGCTTCATTTAACGAAGATTAAAATGAAATGAAAAATGAAATTACAAAAAAATTAGAGCAAAATTAAAAGTAAATAAATAAAATAAAAATTATAAAAAAATTCTTTCAATTATTGAATGGAAATCCAAAAAAATATAGAGAAGAAATTTGAAAATAAATACAATAAAATGAAAATTAAAAGAAAAATTAAATTAAAACAAATTAAATAATATAAAACTTAAAGCGAAATTCTTACAATCATATTGATCAGAAATAAAAAAAATATAGAAAAGAAATTTGAAAATAAATAAAATAAGATGCAAATTAAAAGAAAAATGAAATTAAAACTAATTAAATAATATAAAAATTAAAGCAAAATTCATAAAATCAGAAATAAAAAAAGTATAAAAAAAGAATTTGAAAATAAATAAAATAAGATGAAAAAAAAATCAAAAGAAAAGAGAAATTAAATTACAAATAATTAAATGCAATCCAAATAAAAAGAAAATTAAAAACAAATAAAATTGAAATTGAAAAAATATGAAAAGCAAATAAAATGTGAAAATAACCGGAACTGAGCCGTGAATATCCATTAAAACCGCCAAGAGCATATAAATTGTCGCGAAATGCCACTAAAGACACGCCGGATCTTGGAATATTCATTGAACAAATATAACTCCATTGATTCGTCTCAGTGTCAAAAACTTCAGCCGATTGAAGAACCTCGTGACCATTAAAACCGCCGACAATGTAAATTTTTTTCCCAAGCGCCGCTGCACTTGCATCAGAACGTTGACGATGCATCGACGGAATTATTTCCCACTGATTCCTCTCTGGATCGTAACGTTCAGCTGAATTCATTCTAATCCGACCATTATATCCACCCAGGGCGTAAATCTTTCTATCTGGAAATAAGAAATTTGAAAAAAAATAAATAATCGAATTTTTTTGTCAATATAAAATGAAATTAAATGATTTTTTTTCTTAATAAAAACAAAATAATTAAATATAAGCAAACGAAATTTTTTTCAAAAAAGAGAAAATATAATTAAATAAATTTAAACTAACGCATTTTTTCTCAATAAAAATAAAATTCAATAATTGAATAAATAACTGAATAAATCATCAAACGAAATTTTTCTGAATAAAAAGAAAATAATTAAATAAATCAAAGAATTTGTTCCGAATAAAAATAGAATTAAATAACTAAATAAATAAGCAAACGAATTATTTCACATAAAAATAAAATTATTAAATAAATAAATACAAACGAAATTTTTCTCAATAGAAATAAATAAATAAATAAACTAACGAATTTTTTCTTAATAAAAATAAAATAATTACATAAATGAACCAAAGAATTTCTTTCTTAATAAAACGAAAATCTATATTTTTTTTTTATTAATAATCGTTGTATTTTGGTAATTTATTCGTAGTTTGAAGTTAGTTGTTGTTTGCTTTTTTGTTTCCTAACTTTTTAAATAATTTTTCTATTCAAATATTTTCAATTTTGAAATTAATTGAAAATTATTGAAAATCATTGAATTCTTGCAAAGAATTTTATCAAAAAATTTTAGAATAATTGAATTCCTACCAAGAATTTTATTATTTATGAAAATAGTTGAATTGTTTCAAAAAATTAAACTTTTTTAAACAAATTTATTACAGTTTTTGTAAATAATTAAATTCTTTTGAAGAATTTCTTTAAGTTCTTTTTTTGAAAATAATGTAGTTTTTTGAATAATTTTAATTAAAAATTTTGAAAATAATTGAATTGAACAAAGAATTTTTGTCAACTTTTTAAGATAATCGTGTCTGTTAATAATTGTAATTTAATATTTGATTATTTTATTATTTATAAAAATAATTGAATTATAAAGAATTTTATCAAAATTTTTAAAAATAATTAAATTATTATAAAAAACTTTATCAAAATTTTTGAAAATAATTGAATTGTTTTGAAGAATTTGAATTTTTATAAAAAATGAAAATTTTGTTTTTTAAATAATGAAAATTTTGTTCTTCAAAAGAATTCAATTATTTTCTTAAGTAGAAAAATTCTTCTCACGAATTCAATTATTTCAAAAAAAATTTGATAAAGTTTTTTATAATACCTAATTCAATTATTTTCAAAAATTTTGGTAAATTTTTTTATAATAATTTAATTATCTTCAAAAATTTTGATAAAATTCTTTATAATTAAATTATTTTTATAAATAATAAAATTCTTTTTTGAATAATAAATTGAATAATAAAATTCTTCTTAAGAATTCAATTATTTTCATAAATATTTGAATTTAAGAGAAGAATTTTATTATTTATGAAAATAATTGAATTCTTTTGATGAATTTTATGAAAATTTTTGAAAATAATTGAATTTTCCCCACAAATCTTATAAAAATTTTATTGGAAATAATTGAATTGTTTTGAAAAAATTGCTATCAATTTTTTAAAATAATTTTAATTAAAATTTTTGAACATAATTGAATTCTTTCGAAAAATTCTTTAATTTTTTGAAAATAATCATTTTTATCATAATATTTGTAATTAATTTTATTATTAAATTTAAAAAAAGTTATTAATAGAAAATTAAATTCTTTTAAACAATTTTTTTGTGAAGTTTTCGTTAATAATTTAATTCTTTTGAAGAATTTCTTTATCTTTTTGGAAAATATTGTAGTTTTTTTAAACAATTTTAATTGAAAAAGATGAAAATAATTAAATCGTGTCTGTTAATAATTATAATTGAATATTTGATTATTGAAGTTTCTTAAAATTGAATTTCTCAGAAGAATTTTATGACTTATTAAAAATAATTTAATTTTTTTGTGAAATTTTATTGAAAATAATTAAATTTTTGCAAAGACTTTACTATATAAAAGAAATAATTGATTTCTTTCGTGAAATCTGATTGAAATTTTGTTTGAAAATATAAACAATAATAATTAATTATTTTCTTAATAAGTGGATTTTTTGAATTTCGATTATGAAATTATTCAAAAATTTATATTTGAAAATAAAAAATTTTATAATTTTCATAATAATAATAATAATACATTGAATATCACGTTTTGCACGCGTAACATTTGCTAGTTAAATAATTAAATATTAAACAAAATAAAAATTTACAATTTTCTTTTACCATGTGTACAAACACTGACGTAACATCTCGCATGATACATACAGGCTCTCTCCTTCCATTTTTTCGTCACTGGATTAAAACAACGAACAGTGTTAAAATGATTGTTACCATCGAATCCACCAATAACGTAAATTAAATTATTAAGCGTGCAAATTCCATGATAAGCTTTTGGTATTACGTCTGTGTTCACCGACAGGAACCATTTGTCGGCTCTACAAAGAGAAAAAAAAATTAATTTCCAAATATCTAAACTGAAAAAATTTTCTTTAATAAAAATCGAAATATTAAAAAATATTCCCATTCATCAAAAATTGAAAAAAAAAAAAAATAATTTCCTCGTATCATAAGTTTCGATAAAACTCGTTGGAGAACCAGCACTCCATCCTCCGATGGCGAATAAAATTTCATGAGGTATTCTAGGTCTTAGGAATGGATTTTTCAAATTTGATTCTCCATTTATCCTCGAATTTTGTCCAGTGAGATAGGTGCTCATTGGATGTAAAATACGTTTGTATTCCTTGAACAGAAAAAAAAATTTTTTTAACTTACAAAAATCTAATGAATAAATATAATTTTAACAAATTAAAAATAAAATTTAATTTTTATTTAATTTTTAATAAATATAATTTTTTCCTTTGACAATTTAATTTTTCCGATAAATAATAAAAGGTAAAAGAAACCTTGTCATTGTGAAAAATTTTCCAACAAAGTACTTCGTCATTGAAGAATTTTGAATTCATAAAACCAAAACGAACACAATTGAGTAGACGTGGTACGTATTTTTTTCTCTCATCAATTTTTGTCTCGATCCACAATTTTATTGCCTCGAATATTAATTCCTCGTAACGTACATTTAATTCATCGTCCTGGAGAATTAATTCCAATTCATCGACTGCAATGTCTTTCAATTCTTGACTTTCCTTCACGATTTGCTTGAAATTACAGCGTATAAATTTACGTCCCTTCTCCTCCAAGTTACGACAAAAATAGTGACGGGCAAATTTAAAAATTCCTGTGCAAATCAATTTTTCTCGTTAATTATCTTTTAATTAAAATTTCAATTATTATAAATTAATAAATTAATAAATTAATTATTTACAATTAATAATTAAGTCGAATTTAAAATTTTACAATTACTCCGTTTTTTTGATGAATTTTAAATTTGGGAATAAATTTTTTCAATAAGTAATTTAATAATTATTAATTAGTAAATAAATTCAGAATAAAATTAAAATTTATTAATTTATTTATTTACTCAATAAAATAATAAAAATAAATGAAATTTAAGAAATAAAAAAAAAAAAAATACGTGAAAATTTTTTGTAAATAAATAAATTAAGTTACCTAGACAATTTTCAGGTGTCAGTTGATCGAATAAAAATTGACAGCATAATTGAACGATGCCAAGTACTTCGAATTGATCGGCGAATGATAAAAGTTGTTCGACATTGTTCGATGTAATTTTACAGCTACCAGTGTAGACGAAATCGAGAATCAATTCGAAAATAAATGCCGGAATAATGTCAATTTTCACCTCATTAATATCGGCTTTTCCATTTTTCAAACTATTTGTAAATAATGCCTTGAAATATGGACTCACTGCCGATAAAATTGCCCGGTGGACGTGAAAAAATTTATTCCCACCGCATTGTATCACTCCATCGCAAAGTTGTCTATTCGCCCTAAAAAAACAGAAAAAAATAATAATAATTAGAAAAAAAGTCAAGAAAAATTCTCTGAAAAAAAGAAAGAATTTTGTTTAATTATAATAAATAAATAAATAAATAAATAGAATAAATTAACAAAATTAAAAATGACAAAAAAATTAAATGGTGACAAAACATATTGGAAATTTGAAGACAAAATGTAAACTTTTTGTAACAAAATTTCTAATACAGTAAAAAATTATATTAGAAATTGAATAAAATATTTAAAATAAGGTGAAAAAAAAATTTTTAATCCGAAATTAATGGAAAATAAAAATTCAAACCTTAGTTCGGACCAAACAGGAGGAAATTCAACGTGTACATAATTTGATGGAAGGCAAATGCATTTTTTCGTCTTATTAGATTGTTTTTTCTTGTATTGCTTTAATTTTATGGGAAAAATAATATCCCGTGACATTCGGCTTCGTGAATATTTTCTCGATTTAATTCTATTTACACCATTCATAATAAAAATTTATTTCTTTTTGTTCGTTAATTTTTATTTTTGTTTTTTGAAAAGGAGACTCGAGTTTTTAATCACTCGAGCCACCTTTATTCGTTTCACAATTCAGTTTTTAACCACTGATCCAAAAATACAGTATTAAATCCACTCGTACATAAATGACATTTATTTTCAATCAACATAATAGATAAACAAAATTCAGACATTTTGAAAATCGATCTTCAATTGATTTACGAGAAAAAAAAGGGGAAAATAAATTATTTTAGAAAAAAAAAATTATTTTAGAAATAAAAAATTATTTTAGAAAAAAAGAAAAAATTTTTGTTTTATTTATTTATTGAAGTAGTAAACGTTTTTTAAAAAACGAGATAAAAATTATTTTTTTAAAAAAAAGATAAAAAATATTTTACAAAAAAAGAAATAAAAAAATTATTTTACACAAAAAAGACAAACAATTATTTTACAAAAAAAGAAATAAAAAATTATTTTCCAGGAAAAAGACAAAAAAAGAAATAAAAAATTATTTTCCAGGAAAAAGGCACAAAAAATTATTTTACAATAAAAGAAATAAAAACTATTTTACAGAAAAAGTGAAAAAAAAATTATTTTTCAGGAAAAAAGGCAAAAAAATCATTTTGCAAATCTTCAATCTGATTTTCGAGAAAAAAAGGGGGAAATAAATTATTTTATAAAAAGAAAAATACTTTAGAAAATGAAAATTATTTTAGAAATAGAAAATTATTTTAGAAAAAAAGCAAAAAATTAATTTTTTTTAAAAAAAGAGATAAAAAATATTTTACAAAAAAAGAAATAAAAATTATTTTACAGGAAAAAGGCAAAAAGATTATTTTAAAAAACAAAATATAAAAATTATTTTAAAGAAAAATGGCAAAAAAATTATTTAAAAAAAAAAGTCAACAAAATATTTTACAAAAAAAGAAATAAAAATTATTTTACAGGAAAAAGGCAAAAAGATTATTTTACAAAACAAGAAATAAAAATGTCAAAAAAATTATTTTAAAGAAAAAAGTCAACAAAATATTTTACAAAAAAAGAAATAAAAATTATTTTACAGGAAAAAGGCAAAAAGATTATTTTACAGAACAAGAAATAAAAATTATTTTAAAGGAAAATGTCAAAAATAATTATTTTACCAAAAAAGAGAAAAAAAATTATTTCAAAGAAAAAACCACAAAAAATTTTTACAGAAAAAGAAATAAAAATTATTTTGCAGGAAAAAGGCAAAAAGATTACTATTTTTCGAAACAAGAAATAAAAATTATTTTAAAGGAAAAAGTTAAAAAAAATTGTATTACAAAAAAAGAAAGAAAATTTATTTTACAGAACAAAAGAAAAAATATTATTTTACAAAAAAGGAAATAAATTTTTTTTTATAAACAAGAGAAGAGACATTAAACCAAAAGAGAAATAACAATTAATTTACAAAAGAAGCAAAAAAAATTATTTTACAATAAAAAAAAAATTATTTTACGAAACCTCGAAGAAAAAATTACATTTTGAAAAATTGTAAATAAAAAAATCGAAATAAGAACTTAGAGCAATTTTAATTTGCCAATTAAATTTTTCTTTTTTTGCGAACAAATAATAAGAATAGAAAAATTAACACTAAGAGGAGAGGTGAGGAAATAATTAAGAAGAAGGAGTTTTTTTTCAATATCGTTTTCTTTATTTTGTAGAAAACTGCGTGATAAGTACACCAATAATCTTGCAATGTCGAAATGTTGCCGATTCATCGGGGCACGAAGGAAAACTGTTCGGAACAATTAGTAGTGTACATTATCGAATATACTTTTTTTTGTATAAAAAGGTACAGAACACCTTCTTAATTATAATAAATGTTCGAACAGCCTCCGAGCCCAAGATTTTATTTTCCTAGCAAGCCAGAGCAGTGAACAACGAACATTTTTCTATATGTGGTAAAATGGTACAAGTCTACTGTGTAAAAAAGTTTTTTTTTTTTTTAATTATTCTCGTTATGCGCCTCAATGCATTTGGAAATCGAACCAGAAATTTGAACATAATAAATCATTAAATATCAAGTTCAATAATTGGATCATTTTTCTTTCTCCAAAAAATCAAATCGATTCTTATACAATAAAATCATTTTTTTTTAAATATACATATTTATTTTCTTCAAAAAGCAAAAAAATCGATTTGAACTTGAAATTTGTGACAAAAAAAAAATTTCCAGTTCGTAAATATTGCACACTTCGAAAAGAAAAAGAATTTTCATCTTTCCAAATGCAATGTTTTGGCGCTCGTTCGAATTTTTTAATTATTTATTTTTTCTGTCCTGATGAAACTTTTAGTAGAAGCGACCTACGGTTTTTTAATTCTTTTTTTTTTTTTAAACGACACTGTCTCTAAACATCGATCGATTATTTGGAAAAAAGTTTCTTCAAAATTTACTTTCTTTCGTTTGTACGCACAACGATAGTGAAAAAAACATTTGTAAGTTCGATGATGATGATATTACAATATAATGATGATCAGTCGACTCGAACGACATGACACGCTCTGTTTTTCACTTCTATACAAGATGAAATCACTCTATTTATTATATAAAAGAAAAAGAAATATCTATATTCACAATAAAATTATAATCAAAAATCATTTGATTTTTTCTTATTTCTTTTCATTTTTTTTTCTCCTCGTCGATAGTTTAGAATTTAATTTCAAAAATTTTATAGTCAACTGAAAAAAAAATTTAATTATACATAATTATTAAGTTGTTTTTGAAATTAATTTCTAAAAAATCGTTACATTTGTTTTTTCGAAACAGAAAAATCATTTTTTTTTTCATTAAATTATATATACAAAAAAAAGACGATAAAGAGATGATTTCATCTTGTATTTTATGTTTTAAAGGTCCTCGCATTTCATACATTATTATTTTCCCCCCTAAATTCCCTTCTTCGATCAGCCATTTGCGCATATCGAGGAAGAGTCTTTTTTTTAAATACCTATAAGAATTTTGATTCTCAATTTTACGGTACATCCATCAGTCTGCGGGTCTGTGCATTGCTTTCTCACCATTTTTTTTTCATATTTTTTTTTTCTTTTGGTTACTAGTAACAAAAATGGACGCTTCGTGGTTTTTGGAAAACGATACCAAGAGTCACTCTGTTTTTTGTTTTTTTTTTTTGAAAGTAAAAATAGAAAAAAAGAGAAATGACGAATTTTTTTTTTCACAAGAGTGACACGAGTTGTCGATTAATTAAAAAAAAACCACGAGGGACTAGACACACCGATTTCTTATCAACAGTAGGATATAATTACATCGTAAAAAGTTTCGACGCGCCTTCACCAGCGAAGAGACGCATTTGACATCGAAATTTTGGAACACGTTGTGAAATCACAATTGACTGGCGCAAAAATTTATCGCCGAGTCGTTGTCACTAATATAATTACAAATACGTCCTAAAACGCAAGAGAAAAAAAAAGAATAAAGATCAGCAATCGATTGCAATAGCTTTTTTTTTTTTTTTTGAAAAAAAAATTTCTTTTTTTTCATCAACCAGTCGTGCTTGGCCGAAATTTAAGGCTTCGCCGAGGCAGACCGGACAATTCGTCGAAACTCCCATTCTTCCAAAAAAAAAAAAAATATATTTCCCCCATTTCCTCTAATTTCCATCGGATCTAAATAATCTATAATTTGAATATCGACCTTTGGTTTAATCGCCTATTCATATAATAAAAATCTCATTTTGCTATTTGCTTTTTTAGACTAGACCAATTTTCATCATCATTATCATCATCTTCTTCTTCGTCTTCTTTTTCCTCTTATTACAACTTCATCACCTAATATCTTTACATTCAACCTTATAATTTATAAACTAACAAATTTATGTCTCTCTCTCGAATAAAAAACACTCTTATGGAAAATAGTGACTACAATCTCCCTATAATCTAAAAATTAAAAAAGTGAGAATCAACAATTTATCTGGCACATTTTTTTTTCTTGCAACACGATCCACATGCCATTTTTTTTATCTCTTAAGAAAAAAAGATACTTTTTTTCCAAATTTGATCATTTTTCTAACTTTTTCATTTTTTCAATAATTTTCCTTAATTTAAAATTTAAATAAAAAAATTAAAACAAAAAGATATTTATCTAAAAAAAAAAGAGAAAGACGGAAGAATAGGAAGTTCAACAGCTAAATAATCGATCGCTTTTTTTTTTTTAATATCGAGATCATGAGATTTGAGATTATTTGCCTCGCTAATCCGGCCTTCCGCAAGCAAAGCGTTAGATTTTTTTTTCTTTTATTTAAAAGGAAGACCCGGGCGCAACGACCGAGGACATTTTTTATTTTTCTATTAGATATATTTCTTTTTTTTTGAAAAGAAAAAAAAATTTAATCCACTCGTCCTCGAATGTTCCCAAAAAAAAAAATCTTGTTCTCGAATATCAACAAATTAGTTGAAAGTCGCGATATTCATTCAATAATAATAATAATAATATTAATAATCATAATATTAATAATAATAATAATATAATAATAATAATATAATAATAATATAATAATAATTATAATAATAATAATATAATAATAATAATATAATAATAATAATAATCATAATAATAATAATAATCATAATAATAATAATAATAATAATAATAATAATAATTATCATAATAATCATAATTAGAATTATATTCACAATCATAATTATAATTATATTTATAATTACAGTCATAATCGTAATTATATTTATAATTATAATCATGTTGAAAATTATAATTATAATCCTATTCATAATTAAAATAATAATTATAATCCTAATCATTATTAAAATGATAATTATAATTTTAATCATAATTAAAAGAATAATTATAATACTAATCATAATTAAAATTATAATTATAATTCTAATCATAATTAAAAGAATAATTATAATCCTAATCATAATTAAAATGATAATTATAATTCTAATCATAATTAAAAGAATAATTATAATTATAATAATAATTATAATCCTAATCATAATAATAATAATAATGATAATAATAATAATAATAATAATGATAATAATAATAATAATGATAATAATAATAATAATTCAAGTCCACTACGAATCTCGCCTACAAAGAACTTATTTCTTACGTATATATTCCATTGATTTAATTTAAATTCAATCTAACAATAAAGATAGATAACATTTAAATTCAACCGAGGCTTGCACAGGACCCATTGGATTAAAACATCTCTTCTCTTTCTTTCTTTCTTTCTTTCTTACTTTTTCTCTCTTTCTCTCACTCTCACGCACACAAACTCTCTTTTTTTCTCTCTCTCTCTCTCCCTCTCTTTTTTTAGTCTTCCTCCATTTTTTTCACTAATTAATAAAAAATCACTTTTTTCTCCTTGTCATATCTTTTTTTTTTTAAATATAATAATTAATCTTCATCACCTAATATTGCATGCGCCTTGAACACATTTCGAAGATGGAAAATCGCTTTGTTTCTATGCGCTTAGCGTTTTATTTTGCATTTCTTTTTCTTATTATTATTAATTTTTTTTTATTTTCATTTTCGTTTGCATTTTTTTTTGCTTCTCGTGTCGCTCGAACTGCGCAGCTTGATTTTTATAATTATAGAATGAAATTTAATTTTTTGTCATCAGAATTTTGCTCGGTGGAATTTTTAGTTTTTTTTGTGCTGCCTCGTGCAAAAATTTTTTTTTTGAAAATTCATGAAAGAACTCGAATTTATAGTAAATAATATTTTTTATTGAATTTAAAATTTTTTTTCCATTTTATTGAATTTTAAATCGTTTTTATTAAATTTTTTAAAGATAAATTTTCCTTTTAAGTCATTTTATTTAATTTATTGAGGATAAATTTAATTTTAGAGAAAAATTTTTCTTTTCAATCATTTTATTAAATTTATTTAGGATAAATTTATTTTCAAATAATTTCGAATAAATTTTGTAGAAAACAGTATTTTTTCAAATTGTTATTTTTTTTCGGTGTGAAAAAATCTTTTCTAGCAAGTTTTGATTTTTGAACTTTATTTTACAATTTCTGAACAAATTTTCATTTCTCCAAAAACTATTTTCTTGAAAATTGTGAAATTCTAAACATTCTTGAAGTATAATTAGTTTTAAATTGAGTCAATAAAAAATGTTGCGATAAACATGTTTTTTTACTGCGAATTTATAAACTCGAAATTAATAAATGTTTGAAAGAAAATCGATTTTTACGATTTCAAATTAAATCATTTGAATTACAATTTTAAAGAAATTGAACATTGTTCAGAAAATTTTTTTAGGAAATAATGTTCACTAGAAGTAAAAATTTTGAAATTTCAAAATATTTTGTTAGAAAAAATTTTTTAGAAAATGATTTTCATTAGAAGCAAATCTTTCGAAAATTCACCGTCATTCGATAAAAACATTTTGTTAGAAAATTTTTTTAGAAAATAGAAAAACATTTTAGAAAATAAAATAATCAGAAAATTCGTTGTAGATAGACTTTAAAACCAATTTTTCAGTTCTCTCTGAATTTTCATTTTTAAAATAAAAAATTTTCCTTCTCTGTATTTTCTTTTTTTTAATTTCAAATTAAAAAAATTACGTTTTTATTCAAAAGCACAGGGGAATGAGCGAGCTTTCATTAATGACCACAAAATCACGATTTCTCGGAGTGAACACAATAAAGCATTAACGAAAAAAAAAATCTTTGAAAGAATATTTAGCGCATTATCGAAAAACAAAATCGGTCTCGGTGATTGTTTATCGCAGTCGAATCAAACACTAAAACGTGAATGTCGAGCCAAGACCGAAACGTTTGATAAGACCCCGAGAAAACTTATTTCCAAAGTCTCTCTTGAAATAAATTCAGAAGAAGTAAAAAAAAAGAAAAATTCTTGAAGTAAAAAAAACTAAAAAAAATACTGATTATAATTTTATACATTTTTTTCTTTTTTAAAGAAAGAATACTGTAATTTTTGAGACAAAATAAATATTCTCCTGATGATATTTTAAAAGAGACTTTATTTTATTTTTTCAAGCTCGCGCATTCCGGAGAATTCCGAGCGACCCGAGGACTCGTGTATCGTATTGCGGATGTTTCTTCTTTTTTTCCTTTTCCTTTTTTTTTAGTTTAAAATCGGTATGTAGCATATCATTTTTAGTTTATAATTAATATTGATATTGAACTACCTAGCCTAATATTTACAATTTTCGCTCTTGGCACTACTGTTTTTTTTGCTCATTGTGACAACATTCATTCCCCCACGAAAAAAAAGGTTTCATTTTACTAGCAACATTCATTTTTTTTTCCTATCAACCTTCAATTTTTCTATCTCATCATCTATTTTTTTATCACCTTTCGTTATTTAATTTTGCTTGTCTTTCTTTTTTTTAAATCTCTTTCATTCTATTTTTTTTCTTACATACACAAAACTGATTCTTACCCGCAACCGAACATAATTCGCTCGCCGTTTTTTTTTCTTCTTTCTTTCATATATATAAATGTATATATTTATATACGTTTATATCTATATATATTTATATATAATATAGTCGCAATTTTGCAATTGCCAAATAAATAATTTACTAAGTCTTTTTCGCAAAAGGACAAACTTCTACGATACTCGAGAATCGTCCGTTCGCCGAGGGGGTGGTTTTCTTTTTTCTATTTCGAATTGTTTGTTTTCCCTTTAGCCACCGAAAACTCTCACCCAGAGACTCCCACATCTGCCCTCGATTTTCTTTTCTTTTGATCATCACAAAACTGATTAAATTTTCTTTACTATGACTTTGGACTTATCTGAGATCTGGCTAGAAACTGGCCTTTAGGATTGCTTGATGGAACTTTTCTCAGGATTGAATATTTTTTTTTTTGCTAAGTAAAATTTATCCTGAGAAGTTGTTCCATCGTTAGTCATACTTTTCTCCTTCTCTCTCTCTCTCTTTCTCTCTCTTTTCCTTTCGGTTTTCTCTTTATCGTCAAAATCTTTTCACGGACAAATGACGCGAGCCACCGTGCGAGAAGTGTTTATTTATTATTTTTTTTTTGTTTTTCTCTTGCGAGTCAGTCTTGAGGAATCGTCCGCACCTCGTGAACACGCGAAGGCACAACGACAACGACGACGCAATAGGCGACGACAACAGCAGCAACAACAACAACAACGAGGACAAGAATCTCGTGTTGCTGACTATTTTTGTTAGTATTAGTATTTGTGTTATTTATTGATGATTTTCTTCGTTGTCGTCGCCTTTGGCTAATCGACGTCCGAATGCTCCCCGAGTTTAGACAAACGGTCATCATCTCGAGGAAGTTTTTCATGATTCTTGGGAATCAAATGAACGCCATGGATCAGACGTGTTGCTGGTGATGTTGTTGTTGGGTCTCGTCGGCCTCGCAAGGCACCACCGTTAAACTCGATAGATTACTCAGATTGCTACTTGATTCGGAATAATTCGATAATGTTGGCCTCCTTTGCGCTGGAACGACAACAGCTGGCGTTGAATTTCCATGATTTGGAAATTTTCTGAATACCCTCAATAATGAACTGCCAGCACTGTGACAACGCACTATCCGATCTGGAGCGTCCAATAATGCTGATTGACTCCTGTAGGGCGGCGGACTCTCACTGTCAAACACCGTTCGATTCGGTGGCGGTCTCACACACTTCTGATAGATCTCGCTTTCCTGCGAAAAAAAAGAAGGAATTAGTGAAAAATGCAAATTAAAAATCACACTCAAATTCAAATGTAAATTTAAATACAAATTCAAATAGAAATAAAAAATAAATAGGGTCATTGATTGAAATAAATAAATAAATAAATAAATAAAAATGTAAATGAAAAATACAAAAAATTCAAACAAAAAATTAAAAAAATACAAATAAAAATACAAAAAATATAAATAAATAAAAAAAAAAAATACAAAACGAAATACAAAGGATTTCTCTGAAAATAAAATAAAATTTTCGCTAGAAATTAACGAATTCTCTATAAATAAACGATTTTTTACATTTTTACCAAAACAATAAAAACATACAAAAAAGATAAAAGAAATAAAAACTATTCCAATTAATACAAAATCAAATAGAAATTTGTAATGAATCATTTCTTTACAAATAAAATAAAAATTTCCCTATAAATTTACAATTTTTTACAAGAAAAATGCAAAAAAAAATACAAATTTGTAATTTGTGATTTCCCTACAAATAAAATAAAAATTTATTTAGAAATTTACGATTTCTCTCGAAATTAACAATTTTTTTTCATATTTACAAAAAAAAATACAAAAATACAAAAATAACAAAAATAAATAGAAAACGAAATACAAATTTGTGATGAAGAATTTCTCTGCAAATAAAATAAAAATTCCTCTAGAAATTGATGAATTCTCTATAAATTAACGATTTTTTTAAACATTTTTAACCCAAAAAAAATAAAAACATACGAAAAATACAAAAAAGAAAAAAAATACAAATAAAATAAAAATTTCTTCACAAATTTACAATTTATTTATTTTTTACAAGAAAAATTCAAAAAATACACAAAAGACAAAAGAAATAAAAATATAAAAGAAAATACAAATTTCTGATTTCTCTACAAATAAAATATTTTTCTAGAAATTAACAATTTTTTTTACTATATACAAAAAAAAATTATAAAAATGACAAAGAAATAAAAATAAAATACATAACAAAATACAAATTTGTAATCATCAATTTCATTAAAAAAAGAAAAAATTCTTCAGAAATTAACAATTTTTCTACAAATTAACAATTTTTTTAATTTTTAGAAAAATATATGAAAACAAAAATACTGAAAATAATACAAAACAAAATACTACAAATTTGTAATAAACTATTTCTTTACAAGTAAAATAAAAATTTCCTTTACAAATTAAGAATTTTTTTATTTTTTACAAGAAAAAAAAACAAAAAAGAAACAAATGAAAAAAAATGCAAATTTGTAATCAACGATTTCTCTACAATTAAAATTATTTTTTTGGTTTTTACAAAAAAGAAAACAAAAGCATATAAAAAAGAGAAAAGAAATAAAAAATTTGTAATTTGTAATAAACTTCTTTACAAATAAAATAAAAATTTCTTCTAAAATCAACAATTTTTTTATTTTTTACATGAAAAAAAAAACTCTAATGACAAAACAAAATACAAATTTAGTAATCAACGATTTCTCTAAAAAATAAAATAAAAATTGCTGTATAAATTAACGATTTTTTCACAATTAACAATTTTTTTTAATTTTTAACAAAAGAAAAGAAAATAAAAGCATAGAAAAAAGAGAAAAGAAATAAAAAATTCAAATTAATAGAAAAGAAAATACAAATTTGTAACTTATGATTTCTCTACAAATAAAATAAAGATTTCTCAAGAAATTTTCGGTTTCTCTAGAATTGAACAATTTTCTTAATATTTATAAAAAAATTTATAAAAATAACAAAAAAAAAAAATACAAAAATACAAAAGAAAATACAAATTTGTAATCAACGATTTCCCTACAAATAAAATAAAAATTTCTCTAGAAATTAACAATTTCTCTACAAATTACGAATTTTTAAAATTTTTACAATGAAAATACAAAAAAAACTACAAAAAAAAGACTAAACAAATACAATAAAGGAAAAAAAACCAAAAGAAGTACAAAAATACAAAAATACAAACAAATTAAAAAAATATAAAAAGATAAAAGAAATAAATGGAAACAAATAATACAAAAAAAGACAAAAGGAATAAAAAAATACAAAAAATAGAAAAAAATATCGAAACGCTTTTTTAGATTTTCTTTTGGAGAAAAAAAAATAGAAGAGACTTTCGTTTTGTATTTTTTTATTCTCATCACAGTGATCAAGGAAGAAAATAGGAAACGAAGGATTTTCCCCTTTCTTGCGCAAAAAAAAGGTCTTCGAGGAAAAGATCTTAGAATATCCAATGCCACCCCATCTGTTCTGGCATTAGGTTACCGAAACTCTACCTCTAACCCCCTTTGTAAAGCTAGGCTCCTGTCAAAGATTCGTAAGGGGTGAATTTGATATTTTTTTTCAATATTTTTTTTCTTCCTCATAATTTTATAGAAAAAAATTTCCTCTAGAAATTAACAATTTTATTTTTTCATTTGATATTTTCAATTTGATAATTTTTCTTTCTCATAATTTTTTACGAAAAATTCCTCTCGAAATTAACAATTTTATTTTTAATTTGATATTTTCTTCTTCTTTTTATTTCTTTAGTCTTTTTTGTATTTTTTTTTTTATAAAAATTAAAAAAAATTTTAATTTGTAGAGAAATTGTTAATTTCTAGAGAAATTTTTATTTTATTTGCAGAGAAATCGTTCATTACAAATTTTTATTTTGTTTTGTATTTTTTTAGAAAGAAAAAATTTTTTCCCATAATTTTTTACAAAAAAATTTCCTCTAAATATTACTAACAACTTTTTAATTTGATATTTTCAATTTAATAATATTTTCATTTCTCATCACAATTTTTTGCAAATAATTTCTCTTGAAATTAACAAGTTTTTAATTTGATATTTTCAAATTGATATTTTTTCTTCAATATTTTTGTTCATCCTCATAATTTTATAAAAAAATACATTTTCTCTATAAATTAACAATTTCTTCTTTTTACTCTTCTATTTTCATTTTTAAATTTAGCTTTCTTCTTATTTTACCCATTTTTCTTGACTAGATATTTCTTTATTATCTTTTTTCTTATCATTTGGAAAAAAATAAAAAGGAAACAAGCGTTGAAAATTTAAATTAATTTCTTATTTTTTCAAACCTTGTTTTTCTTAATGTTATAAAAAAAAGAAAAAATAAATAAACAAGAATTTAAAATTAAAACAAATTTCATTTATTTCCGAATCTAATTTTTATATTATTGAAAAAAAATATGCAAGAGTTTAAAATTAAAAAATTGTTGTTAAATTAAAAAAAATCATTATTTACCTGTTCGGGATCGCGAAGATGAAGAGCCGTGTGGGCTCCGTAGGGACGTTCCTCGCCATCCGGAAGTTGAAGCCGAGGCGGAAGATCCAAAGCCAAATCTTGTCGAACACTTCCGGCTCTTACAACACGATCCCTTGCGGCGGCGACCATTGCTTCCTGCATTCCGTCGCCGCCTCCTCCGCCACCGCCCGCCGGACCACCCTCGAGACCACCACCAAGACCGCCGTGTCCTCCGCTGCCAACCTCCATTCCTGGACTCACCGACAGCATCTAAAGCAACAAACAAAATCCAATTCAATTCCAATTCCAACAAATTTATTTCCAACTTCAATAAATAATTCAATTAAATAATAATAAATTCGAAATATAAATATTTCTATTTTTAATTTTTCTCTTTTTTTTCTCCAGTTTTTTCGTCGAATTTTATACTTTTTTCGAAATTAACCAAACTTTCGTTATTTAGTTTAATTTAATTAATTACTTATTTTTGTAATATTCCCTTATAAGAATGCATTTATTTTTAATAAAGGTTTCTTGAAATTCTCACTCAGATTTCAATTATTTTAATAATTAATAACATTCTTTGCAGTAATTCAATTATGTTTAAAAATTGTAATAAAATTCTTGGCAAAATTTCAATTATCTTAAAAAATAATAAAATTATCTTCCAAAATTCAATTATTTTCAAAAATTTTTCTGAATTAAATGATTTTCAATATCTACTATTTTTAATAAAATTTTTCAAAAGAATTCAATTATTGAAAAAAAAATGTTGATAAAATTCTAAGTAAACGTTCAATTATTTTTATGAATAATAAAATCTCATCATAGAAATTCAATGATTTTTAATACAATTTTAATCGAATTCCTCAAAAAAAATGTAATTATTCTTGAACATTTTATTAAAATTTGTCGAAAAATTGAGTTATTTAAAAAATTATTAATAAAATACTTTAAGAGAATTCAATTTTACGATATTCATTTACTGAATAAGTTATTTATTTTTATATTTGAAAATGAATTTCAGTAAATATTTCACATATTATTAAATTTAATTAATTGAATATTAAAAGCATTATAATCATGAATTTTAAAAAAAAATAATTGAATTTTAAAAAAGATTCAAATATTTTTGGTAAAATTTTTTTTTGTAACAATATTTTTGGTAAAATTAGTTTGGAAATGTAAATTTTTGGAAAAACAAAACTTTGGAACTGATGGTTTGGTAAAAGTGACGCCCATTCTTATTTTTTTTATTTTTATTGCCTTTAGAAGAAAAATATTTTTACTTAATTACCCTGAATTCGCAATTTCTGAATAAGGATAGTAAAAAGATACCTATAGATTTAGTCAGTAAATTTTTTAAAATTTAATTTTTCCATCAGTAGAAAAAGAAAGTTTTAGTCAGACAATTTTATTAAAAACTAAAATTGAACACTATAGTCACTGTTTTTAATTAAATAATTATTGTAATTTTTTGTCAGTAGTAAAGTCAATTTTAGTCAGACAATTTTCCAACAATGATTTCTAAACCAGTAGAACAATTCAATTTAAGTCAGACGGTCCTTTTTAAAAATTTATAACATTTTTATTAGTAGTTTTTATATTTTTAATTCACGTAATGAGTTTGATAATAATTTTTGTAAAAGTGGTACAAGTCATTTTTAGTCAGACAATTTTGTGAATTTAGTTTCTAATCAGTAGAAGAACTCGACTTAAGTCAGACAGTATTTTTAGTAATAATTTTACTATTTTATTTCATTGATAAATTTTTTCTATAAGTAGTAAAAGGAAGTTTCAGTCAGACAATATTACTATAATCAAAATAAATAAATGTCAATTCTATCTAAATAATATTTTTTATTTAGAAAAATAATATTATGAGTAGAAAAAAGCTCTTTTAGCCAGTTTAAATTTTTAAAAATGTTTCCATAAGTTCAGTAAAAGAAAATATAAATCAGAGAATTTTTTATCAGTAGTATAAGTCAACAATAGTCAGACAATCGTTTTAATTATAAATTATAGTAATATTTGCCAGTACTAAAATTTGTAGTAATTTTTTAAAACTAGTATTTAAATACCAATATTTTTTTTTATATATTATTTATTATTACATTTTCTCCAAGGACTAAAATTGGGACATTAAAAAAAAGGCAGTAAAATATGAACAATTTTTTACAATTTACAAGTACTTTAAAAAAAAAAAGTCTTAAACAATGCAACACTGTGTGATTAGTGAAAGCCGCACAAAGTTCCTTTAAAAAAATCTCATGTGTGTTAAAAAAAAGGGGGGACAACGAATGTCGATATTTCGGGTGTAGAAAGTAAAGGACGTTTCAAAAGTAATGAAGCACGACGCTCATAAAATGTCTGAGTCGCGTCTAGTCGTTTGCGAGGGCCCCGCCGCCGGCAATAGACATAAAAATCAGCCGAGGGTTTCTTTCAAACGAGACACTAACAAAATTCACCTTCTCAATTTCTTTTTCTTCTTCCTCCTTCTTCTTCTACTTCTCATTCTTTTTTTTGTCTCTCTCCCTTCAAATATTTTCGATTATTTTCCCTTCCTTTATTCAAGGTCAAATTTATTCCTCCACTTGTCGGTAAATTGTCACCCAATTTCTGATATGTTCTCTCTCTCTCTTTCTTTCTCTCTCGATTCTTTTTCAATATAATACAATTTTTAGATTCATTTTTTTTAAACTTAATTGAATTTTATTTCGACGTTCGTATTTTTAACTAAATTGTAAATTCAATTAGTTTACAATTAAATTGTAAATTAAATTAGTTTACAATTAAATTGTAAATTAAATTAGTTTACAATTAAATTGTAAATTAATTTACAATTTAATTGTAAACTAATTTAATTTACAATAAATAATTTTAAATAGTAAATTAATTTAGTTTACAATTAAATTTAGAAATTAAATAGTATTGTTCTCGCAATTAAAATTAGGAATTAAATAAGTTTACAATTAAGTTTACTAATTAATTTTATAATAAAATCAATAGTTAATTTTTTTACAGTTTTTTTGTACAGTTTATGATGTTTTTATTTTCTTATTTACTCTCAAAATTTGAATATTAGTAAAAATATTAACGAATTTGAAGTAGTGACCGACTTTTTGCTTTCAAATTAGTAAATTTTAGAGATTTCAGTTTTTTTATTTGGTTTTTTTAAAGTTAATCTTTTTGTTTTGCTTTTTTTTTTATTCACAGATCAGATTTAATAATATTAATAAAAATAAAAATAAAAATAAAAATAAAAATAAAAATAAAAATAAAAATAAAAATAAAAATAAAAATAAAAATAAAAATAAAAATAAAAATAAAAATAAAAATAAAAATAAAAATAAAAATAATAATAATAATAATAATAATAATAATAATAATAATAATAATAAAATAATAACAATAATTGTTAATATTATTATTAATAAATTACGTTTAAAAAAATATTATTTAATTTACGTCCCTAATGTTTAAAACGCTCATATGAACGACGATTCTTTTATATTAAATAATTTGATTAGGAATTTATTTACAAATTATTGATTCCATAATTAAAAAATGATTTTTTAACTAAATAAATATTCAATTACATTATTTTAACTCTCAGTCTGGTAAGTTTTAAATATTATGGATAACAGAAAAATATTTCGTTCAAAAATTGAGGCAAAACTTTTAATCACAGTTTTTCTAAGGATATCAAATTGAGAACAAAAAATGTTTTACAAAGTTATAGAAAAATTGTGAATTCGAATAAATAAAAAAAATAATTAAATAAATAAAAACGAAATTCTATATAAAAATTTATATTTAAAAATTTACATTCAAAACTTTACTTTTAAAAATTTATTTACTATTAACTTTAAAAGTATTTACTATTAACTTTAAAAGTATTAAATTGCGATTTATATTTAAAAATTTACATTCAAAACTTTACTTTTAAAAATTTATTTACTATTAACTTTAAAAGTATTAAATTGCGATTTATATTTAAAAATTTACATTTAAAACTTTATTTTTAAAAATTTATTTACTATTAACTTTTGAAAGTAATAAATTGCAACGAATTGATAAAAAAAATATTAATTAAATCGTAAATTAATCTACATTTTTTATACAACTTTTGGTTAAAAATTTCAATTTAGAAAATATAAATTATCAACAAATATAGGTAAGAATTAAAAGAAATTCCATAAGTCTTTAGAAAACATTGTAGAAAATTTTCTCATGTTTTCTCTCACAAATGGAAATCGTGTATATTTGTGAATTCTGGGGTTATCAATGTAAGGTCTTGTCTCCAATAATAATGCGTCATTGGAAAAGTCATAAGTCGAATAATCATTACATAGTCTCAAGCAGTGAGAGACAAGAGCAAACGCAATATTAATCATTGCTCATGTAGCCTGCGTAAGTACGTGAATTAAAAATAACATTCAATTTTATCAAATCACGTGCTTAGTATAATTTTCTTTTTTCCTTTTTTTGCACTTTACTTCTAATTTATTCTTTTTACTTTATTTGCTCTTTACTTGTATATACAGAAATGAATAGTTTTTTTTTTATTTGTGATGGAAAAAAAAACGAGACGAATGTGATAAATAAGTTGAGGAGTATATAATTAGTATTAACAGACAATGCTCGTATATGAATTTATATCGGAGATTATTAATCTCACATGACAAGAATTGATGTATTACATATTTATATACAGAAAGTGAATAAAGTTGTAGCAATATTTCTTTGATTTTTAAATATTGTATAGTATTATTAATTTACTTTATTATTTTTACTGTCTGGGTAAGAATTTTACTCTTTTTTTCCTCTTTCTTTTCGCATTTAATTTTTTTTCTTCAAATTATTCAATTTATTTTAATATGCCAGTAGTATTTTAATTCCTAGTTTTCATATATTCATAATGATAATGAAAATATTTTCAATTCTTGTCATTTTAGTTTTCAGTAGTAGAAGTCACTTTGAGTCACTTTCAGAGACTTAAAAATTTTTATTTTGAATCAGTAAAAAACCTTTTGTTCCTAATTATACCTAAAATAACCTAAAAAAAGTAATTAATATAATTTATAAAAAAGTAAATATAAGAAATAAAAGAAATGAACAAGTAAATGTTAAAATTTAAATTAACTTCAAATTCATTTTATTTTTAAATAAGTGACTTAATAGTCACTTATTTATAAATAAAATGAATTTGAAATTAATTTAAATTTTAACATTTACTTTAATAAAAATAATAATAAATAAAATGAATT